ATTGTTCCCTCTATTTGGTTGTTAGTTTCTTTCCTCTTCTCAATTGTTCTTCGCTTCGCCTCATTTAAATTGCATCAGGCGGCGTTTCAGGTTCGGAATTACTGTTGGGGTCGATTGGTTTCTTGTTTTGTTTGGTTTCTTGAGATACCTCGTTTGGGTAAGGAACTTGTTACGATGGATGGATTGTCAGGCATACCTAGACTACGAAGTAACGACAGAGCGTTGAGACAAATCACATCATGAAGGCGAGAATAGGAATCAACCTTTCGCTTTATCATGTCTTGAATAAATAAGCCCTATACTGAACATTGAATCTATTCTGCCATAACGGCCAAGCCGTCTCTATTTTCCTCAACCTATCCATATTACTCTAGCAGAGAAGCCTGGTTCGTGTATAACGCATCCACCACATTGCTCAGCTTATCAATAGTCTTCAGAGCAGCGTCGTAAGATTCGTCACGTTGAGTCTCATCGAAGATGATGAGGCATCCCGCACCTTGGTCGAGGACGCCGATGATGACCTTGTCCAGGATCATCTGTGATAGCTTACGCTCAACTTGCTGCGTATCAAGACCGACCATCTTAGCGATATGGTCAATCTCGACGCGGGAGAATGGCTCGATAACCTTGATCAAGTTCTGCTCCAACATGGCATCATAAAGTCGTCGAAGATGGTTGCGGATGAAAGCATCACTGCCCAACTCGTAACGATAGGCCGAGAGAGCTCTCTCATACTCCTCCAGGGAGCGATTCGAGTGCGCGCGAGCAATGGCCTTCATAGCCTCGAGGTTTTTCCCAGCATACTTGAGCGCTTGCTTGGATGACATGAGCTGGTTGACGTCCTCAACAAGGTTGAGCATAATCTTGCAAAGTAGCATGTACTGGAGGGCCGCCTGCGCCTTGCCAGTCTCCTCCTGGCTGTGGTATCCGTCCAACGCCTCGATGAAGTATGAGAATGCGGTATTGAAGTCCTTATCCTCAGCATGAAGCATACCGCTCTGCATATCGAGGTTGGCTTGCAGCAATGGAGGGGTGTAGACACTGGCGGCGCTTGTTCGGGCGCTGGTCAAAGCGGCGCGGGCCTTGGGGATGTTTCCAAGGGCGTGGTAGACTCGGGACTCGAGGAGCTGGACTTCGACCAAGCGTAGCTTGTCATCGAGACGCTTGAGCTCGCGAAGAAGTCCATTGATGAGGGTAAGTGCATCGTACCAAGATTGCTTGGTCATGTGAAGGGTGACGAGTCGGACTTCCAAGTCCTGTCGCTGAAAGGCGCGGCGCTCGGAAGTAGCCCATTCGATACAATCTTTAGTCACAGCAATCTCGATGTCGGTACTGTTGGGAATGTCTCTGAAAATGTCGAGCAGTTGGCGCACTAGGAGTTGGTCGTGTGTCAGCACCGGGTGTCGTATAGGTCAGGCACGCGGGCAATATCTATATTACAAACTTACCCAACTTAGCAGACTTGGCCTTTGCAAAGGAGGAAAAGACTGATCTGCTCTCTTTTACAAGGTTGACCAGATCCTGTGTCCGCCTATAGATATATCAGTCAGCTATCCAAGCTCCCGGTGCATCACCAGATTGGGAAACCAACGTCTGGTCTCTGTAGAGCTCGCCTAGGCTTATCAGAGCAACTTCATACTCTCGGGTCGCAGAATCGGAGGCTGCACTGGGGGCAGTAGATGTGATTTCCTTGTAGATGGCCTCTGCTTGGGTTGGGTTGGTCTTGGTGAGCTTCTGGGCTTCTTGGACACGGTCCGAGTCACCGACCGCCATTGTTGAGGCTGCTGAGAATGAAGTGGCGACTGATTATATCGTAGGTTCAAGGGCGTTGAGTCCCGGGACTGGGGGTGCGGGAAAGCAGGGTGGTGTTGGCGGGATGCGTTGTGGTGAAGATGAGACGGTGCGAAATGATGCAGTCAAGCTTCCAGCGACTTCGTTGCTCTGCCCTGTACTTACTACGGTAGCATTTGTTTGCCTCTGCTCTAGGTTGCCGCACGAGCGACGTAGGCAAGTGGGTCGCGGGTACCTCCAGGCTCGCTCTTGCCTGGGCCAGGGCCTACCAGAACCCGACCGGGCAAGTAGTACCCCACCACCATCGTAGTGCCTTCTTCTTGTGCTGGCTCTGTCTGGCTCTCTGGATTGGCTAATGCTTCCCAATCGGGGTTAACTGTCCGGATTATCATTTGACCGCGAGCCCTGCGGTACCGGTCCCGATTCCTTAAGCTTTGCCGGCTACAGCAGGCACATGCGCATCCATGAAATTTCAGACCCCATTCTCGTTGCTCTTATACTCGAGAGCTCATCCAAAGCTTCACAGCCAGCCCTCTTTCCATTCCTCGATTCCGCCACAACACCTCTAATTCGCCATGTTCCGACACGCTCTCACCACCTCCTCCCGGGCGCTGCGCTCTGCCGCCCCCAGAATGTCAGCCACGAGCTCTTTCGGCTCCTCACAGTTCCGCATCGTCGCTGCGGCCTCTCCCAGACATTTCACACCTGCAATGGGGAGGTGGTACAGTGACGCAAAGGAGACCAAAACTGAGGAGGTTAAGGAGGAGGCTAAGGAGGCAAACGCCGAGGCTGACCCAGTTGCCGAGCTCAAGAAGCAGCTTGAAGCCAAGGATGCCGAAGCTCGGGAATGGAAGGTTCGTACACGGCCTACTTTTAGTTCTTCCAACAAGGTACATTTCAGCTGACAAGGTCTAAACAGGACAAGTGCTTGCGCACCGTTGCTGACTTCCGCAATCTCCAAGATCGCACTCAGCGTGAAGTTAAGAGCGCTCGCGACTTTGCTATCCAGAAATTTGCCAAGGATCTCATCGACAGCGTCGACAACTTGGATCGTGCCTTGACCACAGTCGCACCCGAGAAGCTCAATGCTGACAACCAAGATCTCAACAACCTACATGAAGGTATCAAGATGACCGAGACTGTGCTGATGCAGACTCTGGAGAAGCACGGTCTTGAGCGTCTCAGCCCTGAGGGCGAGAAGTTCAACCCTAATGAGCACGAGGCTACCTTCATGACGCCCCAACCTGAGAAGGACGACAACACCGTCTTCTTTGTTCAGCAGAAGGGCTTCAAGCTCAACGGCCGAGTGCTCCGCGCAGCCAAGGTTGGCGTTGTCAAGAACAAATAAATACCTAGCCTCCCACCCGAGAAGGCACAAGTGTGCAAGCCACGCCTGTTGTAATTTTAGTTGGACACCAAAAAAAACGGATGGCGTTGGATCAAAATGTATAATGCTCCTCTCATGTTGACGAAAGAAAAAGATGATTTCAATGTTGTTGCATGGCGGCGGTTCTGATCATAAACAAAGACGAGAATTGTTGTTGGACGAGACGACCCCAGATTTTATTCGGAATGGGACAAACAATGTATATATGTATATTATATCATCTGGCTGGCGGCTTAAGCGCGAGACTGATCTCGAGAGGAGAGTCGCTCCCTCTCTAATCTACGAACACAAACAAACCTCCTTATACGGTCCCAAGAGGACCAAAGCACGAGGTTTCGCTGGACACCACCAAGTCTTCGCTCTTTTGGGCATATACGTGACTGACAGACGGCAACAGGGGAGTTATCTTGGTTTCCGCGACGTTCTTTATTTACTTGCGCATAGGGACTTGATCATTGCGTGCGCCAGCTACAAGTGGCCTCCGACGGTGCCGTGGCAACGACTGACAACTGTTGCCAACTGCCAGCATCTGCCGAGCTCACACAGACACACTGTTCTTCACGCCAGAGCGGGCTAAGGTCAGCACAGCAGTTCGCATGTGTAAACAAACAGCAGTTCTCATATGTAAACAAAGCCACTCCTTCTACTACGTCCTGCTTGTCCCCAGTGACGCTCTCACCCGTGCGCAACCTCTTCCTGTTGCCCCTTGCTTACCGACAACAAGGCAGTTCTTCCAAGAGTCAACAAGACATATGGCCTGAGACGCCCCTCATATTTTACTATCTACCTGTCCCCTGGGAATGGCTTGTTTTCGCCTCCCTCGTCTCCGGACAGCTCGCGCTGATGTTTCCACAACATGCAACAGCACAGATGAGACGTTCAAGGGTGTTGTTGAGGATGTTGAAAGTAGCAAAGAAGAAGCTACCCCAATCAAGACAAGTCAGTATACCTCTGTGTGTGTCCTTGGGCTTGGGGTCCGATCTTAGCTCTTGTGGCCGTTTGCGACGAACTGACACAAACTGACTTACTTACCTAGTCCGGAGAGTCCCCAGACTCAATCCGCTTTCGCTGAGAATCAGAGACAGTGAGCCATCCTTGGCCTTCTCTCCGATTTCACCTTCATTTTAAGGGTTTTCAATATATTGCTAATTCACACTGAGCGCGCGAATCAGCAGTAGAGCACCATAATTGCGATGGAACCACCACGATGAGCACAGCGGCCCCATTTCTTCAAGGAGAAAACATGCCGCTCATGAAGCGGAACCACTATGGCATAGAAAAAGCCAACGACTTGGAATTAGGTGACCTGGGGGGTGATGATGAGTCGCTCGCCAGTATGTCCAGGTCTGATACAGAAGCTCTAGTAATGTCGGGCATCCCATTTCATTCCCCAGTCATGGGGAAATTCGCTTTCCCATACCCTCCAACTCACCGCCATACGGAATCTGGTCCAAAAACCGGGGTCAGTCAGAATTCAAATGGCGATGTGGAAGATAGCGAAACCGGCCTGAGCAAGCCCAGACGCGTTTTGAATAGACGCGGCCAATACAGCCTCATTCCGTCTCCCAGCACCGAAATATCTCTGCTCAACTTAGACGAAGGCCAGACTCGCCCACCAAACCCCCTTACAGGAAGCTCAAGGTCCACTAGTATCGGTGAGGAGACATTGCAATGCTATGACAATGGCATTTTACCTCTGTCAAGCTTCTCTCTCTCATCCCATTCTTCAGATTCATCTCTCCACGGTGTTGCCGCTGGACTGGCTCCTGGTTGCACTGCGCCAACCGGGTCTCAACATTGGCGCCTAACAAACTCCACCCTAATGGCTTATAACTCTATGCGCGGGCCTTTCAGGGAAGCCGGTCGAGATGTCTACTGCTGGGCGGAGCGGTGCCAGAAATTGAACCTCCTGAAGGTGGTGATGGATGAAGGCGAGGGTACATATGATGAGTGAGTTGCCACCACTACAAAATGCTCTCACAACCAGGAATCTGATTCCACTCGTTTTAAACACTTTCTTTTCTTACATTTAGAACTCAAAAGTCATATATTTCAACTAACATTGATTACATCTGTAGCATTCTGGCTGATGTCAATTCCTTGTACCACAGTGAACAGCCCTCCCCAGACGATCATCCAGGGAGGAAAGATGTATTCTGTCTTCCTCGAGCACCATATGAGCATATTCACAATCCGGCTACTTCTCAAGTCCATGATACTTCAGCCGCCGACCCCATTCCTGCACACAACCCACAAGCTGTACAATACGAAGTCCCACAAATGAGACATGAAAACTTCCACATAGACCTTGAAAATTGGGGGTATTCAGATCAGGGAGATAGACATATCGAAGACGTTTCTCTTCCCGAAGAAGGTATGCTACGTCAAATCCGATCCATAGTGGGCTTCAGGGAAATATACTAACATATCCATGTCAGATGAGTTCGTTATCTCTGATGACGAGGGACACCCAGACGACGGCCGAATTTCCCCATGCACATTCCGACTGTTTACTCAGAACTGCCGCCGACGATGCGATACGCACCAGGTCATTGACCAGGTACTCCAGGTATTCATATTCCCGGCCTGTTGGAATCAACCATTGAGTATTTCGGGGAGCTTCTGTATTCACTAGTTTGCTCGCAGAACTATCAGCCTACAAACCTACGCCTCGAGACCATTGGACCCCTCGGGATGGAATATCAAGCTCCAAGGTTTCCAGGCCAATACTACCCGCTTTCTTCCGGTTCTGGGTACGCTTGCGAAGATGAGGATGAGCAGGGAGCAGACTTGATCCAGATGGCCAAGATCGTCACCATCGAGCACTGGGTGTTTACAGGATATTGGCCGAAATTTTCGGACGAGGTGGCTTATGTTTAAAGGTCTAGACAACATATCGCGATAGGCAATCGGTAGATACCCGTTAATAGCAAAATACATATATGACCCCAAAATGATTATTACTCTAACGTTACAATGAAGCGCATACAGCCACTTTATTTCTTGGCTTTCCCCTTCGTCCCGGACCCCTTGGGTTTGGCCGCAGCTTTTGTTGTTGTTTTCTTTGCCGCCTTCTTAGCCTTGGGTTGTTTGATGTATTTATCCTTCTTCAAATCAAGCTCATCATCATCAGCTTCCGGAGCTTCGACAACCTCAGCTTCATCTTCCTCCTCAATAGCCTCCTCCAGGTCAGGGGCCTCCTTGGCCTGGACCTTCGGGGCTGTGACATTGCTTGCCTTGATGAATGGAATTGGGTGGTTCATCGAGTTATACCTGTCAAGAGTTAGTAAAGTTTAAGAAGTGCCTTAGTAGAGGTGGTGATGAGCCAACTTACGTTCTAGTAAAGGTAGCTTTGACCTTTGAATCAACAGACACATTCCCCTCGTCCATATAACCAACACCAAGTTCCTGAATGGCGTCTACGTCGTCTCGGGTGAGGTAATAACTATCCATGAGCTCGATAATGTCGGAAACAGCTTCGTTACCGTCACGCTCAAGTCGTTTGACTATTTGGTCCCAGAGCACGGGAAGGTACTCTTGTCTGACCTCATTATGATCGCCAGATGATTTAAGACGCATATGAGAATGAAGCTCTCGAGTGTAGCGTCCCAGTTTCCCTGTTTTACTGTTATTTCCAAGCCAGCTCGTGAAGTCTGAACCCAGGAGTTGGCCAGCGATAAAGCTTGCAGGTCGAACTGTGCTAAAAACAGCATGTGTTGGCATGAGGCTCCAGTGTTGTTGAGGGCCATGGATCATCCTATCCACCAGGTCTCCGTCACTGATGCTCTCAGCAGCCTTGTCAAAGAGTTCCAAAGCCTTCAGCTTTTCTTGTCGTTTATTGTAGCCTTGGCCATTCAAGGCCATTGGCTTGGTCTTGAGGTAATTTTCTTGGATCATAAGGAAGCTGAATTCGTGATCGTTGAAATACAACTCAATCTTGTCATTGAGGGTCGACTTACTGGCTGGTGCAAATAGTCCACCAGCCAACATCTTTTGGCAAATGTCCCAAGGTTTCAACACAACGTGTTTCTCCCACGCTTTGCTCATTGCCTTTCCTTTGTCAAAGTCCATACTTTTCTGGTCGAGCTTTGCTGTAGAAATCATATTGATGATCTGTCGGATATCCTTGTTGCTCCCTTCGATGAGAGCATCAACGACAGGAACTGGTAATTTCAATCCCTCTCTATGGCATATAGTCATGATGCGCGCTCTGACTTGCTCTACCGTTGGGCGGTTGAATCTTATATCCAGGGCCACATGGTCGAAAGGCTTCATCTTTGGCAGTTTGCGCTCATTGCAAATCAAGATGAGCGGGATTTCAGTTTTCTTGCAGAACTTTGCCAACGCACCAACACCACCACGATCACCTGCCGACATACCATCAACCTCATCCATGATGAGCACAATCTTTTTCTTTGTCGAGTCCACAGATTTGCCATCGCCTGCAAAGTATCCGAGGAGCGAGGTGTTGTTCATCACATCACTCACGCCGGCTTCAACTAGCTTTTTGCTTCTTGCGTCGCTCGCGTTGCTCTCTAGAACATCATAACCTTCAAGCTTAGCGGCAAGATGTGCAGCTGTCGTCTTGCCAATACCAGGCGGGCCAGAGAGTATAATGGCACGAGCTCCGAGCAGTCCATCAGCTCCCCGTCGTTGGAAATCGTATTTTTTCGCCGTCGCCCAGCCTTGCAGCCATTTTTGTATCTTTTCAACCTGCCCCTTGTTTCCGCAAATATGGCTCAACTGTGTTGGGGCGTACTTAGTGGTCAGCAGTTGGGCAACTGGAGCTGGTGGGAGAACCGCCGACTTGTCCGTGACACCTCGAGCAGCGGCAGCTTTTTTCGCTGCCTTCGCTGCCTCCACTTGCTTTGCCTTCTCTTCCGCTTCCATTTCAGCAATTTGTTTCTTGATCTTTTCTTCATCTGCCTTCTTTTTTTCTTGCGCCTTTTGAGCTCCTTTACCAGAGCCACCGAAAGCAGGCAGTTTTCGGATAAGATCAAATAGTCCATTTTCGTCGATCGTCTTGATTCCCAGTGACCTGATTTTAGACAGCTTGCTTGGGCCGGCGTCTTCGCCAAGAACAACAAAGCTTGTCTTGCTGCTGGGTTGTCCAGTGACTTTACCTCCATACCTCTTCACTAATGCCTGCGCTTCCTCTCGAGCAATTGTTTGCAATACGCCGGTGAAAACAAAAGTAAGGCCGCTCAAACATTCCTCTTCGCCATCTGGTACATCTGCCGAACCTCCCATAGGCTGAGCAGATGAGTTCCCACCACCATTTGCTTTTCTCCAGTCAAACTTAGCATTAGAATCTTTTGGCGGAGGCGTTGGTGCTCGAACTGTCGTAACGCTGTTGAGAATATCTTGAATCTCGGCATCTTCGGGTTCATCTGGCTTTTTCGTCCGCGGAGCTCGTGGCTTCGCAGGGGCCTTCCGCTTCTTTGGCGCCTCATCCTCAGATTCTTCCGTGTCGGGTTCAGGGGTTTTTCGCTTTTTCGCCGCTGGGGGCTTTGATGGCTTCTTTTCGTCCGTTGCACTACCGGCAGCCGAAGCTCGAGCTCGAGATGCCACTCGTTTCGGTTGAGGAAGAACATCGTCATCCGAATCATCCTCCGCATAATCGTCATTTTTGCGCTTGCCACGACCTTTTGTGTCAGCAGCGAAAATATCATCTGCATCTTCATCGGCGTCATCCATATAGGCGTCTTCATCATCATTGGCTGCGTGGTGAGTATAACTAATAGCCGTTCGCTTTTTCGCAGGTGAGGCGCTCTTGTCGGGGCCGGCTTGGGATTTCGAGGGTAGGTTCCTCCCTCGAGGGCTAGATCTAACCGGAACGTCTGTTTTCTTCTCCTCTTTGTTCGAGGAGGAGGTCGTCGATCGTGTGGTGGAAGAATCATTTGTCTTGGTTGAGGCAAAATAATCTTCAGTGGAAATTGATACGCCTACAGGCTTGCTATCTCTAGGAGTTTTAAGTTAGAAATCAAATGTTTTCTTTGAACGGAACGAACATACTCTGCTTTCTTCTTTGTGGAAGCTTTCGGCTCTGGTCGCTTCTGTCTGCCCATAGTGTTAGCATTATCTCGAAGCGATGAACAATGTCGAACGCACTCGGCCTCCTCATCATCACTCTCGTCAATAACTTTTCGGTTTTCTGAACTATGTGAGCAATTGAACAAGAAATTCGGGGTGTGCATTTCTGACTTGAACGTTTGGTCTCTGCCGGCTTCGGCGTAGGTTTTGGGGCAGCACCGCCCTTAGGACCAAAGAAAGATCGAATATCAGGCATTATGAACGGGTGATTGAGAAGTATAAAGCCAAAGTGGTATTAACAGAGCCCACGGCGTTGCATCTTTCAAGAGGAACCAAATTCACAAACCGAGCTTGGCGCGTGGCTGCGTATTAAAGGAATTATGGTCGAGGTGAAGGCAGGCAGCAGCCAGTGAGTGACGTTAAAGACTTGGTTGATTAGCAGGGTGGTGAGACGCGAAGATGACGCGAGATGCGTGACCTGCTTAAGAGGTCAGGTGTACCTTGGTACTTGCCAGTTTGAAGGCAGCAGTCGCAGCACTGAGAGAGGTGGGTAACTTCCCTCCCAGGCAACTGCAGGCCTGGCCAATCAGGCCTCGACCTGCGCCCCACAGCAACACACCTGGAGAAGAATTTCCAATTGCCAGACTGAGGTCAAGCTATCGGCACAGAAGGTGCTCAATCGACAATTGGCGAACGATGAAGCCCGCCAACATGTCAAAACTACTCGGGTCTTTCCAGGCATTGAGCCTTCGAACCTCGGCGCCTTTGCGCCTACTTCGGGCCCCAGCCCAGGGACAGACGCAGCGACTCCAAAATGCCAGGGCATTCTCGACCACGACTCCAGCCCTCGGCAGTTGGCTTGAGCCAAATATCGACAGGAAGAAGAAGATGGCCAAGGGTCGCCCCCGAGTTCCCACCGGAGGCTCGGTCAAGGGCACAACAGTGATCTGGGGCGATTTCGGAATACGCATGGTTGATCATGATCGCAGAATCAGCGCAAAACACCTAAAGATGGCTGAAGACACAATCAAGACCCGACTACGTGGAGAGAGATTTCGCCTATATAAGCGCAAGTGCTGCAACGTTGGCGTCTACGCCAGCGGCAACGATGTAAGGATCGGGATAAGTTAAGCTGTGAAATACTGAGGCTAACTTGCTTCTCAAACCAGATGCGTATGGGTAAGGGTAAAGGTTCGTTTGATCACTGGGCAACCAGAATGGCCGTGAGCCAGGTTCTGTTCGAGCTCAGGGGCAAAGTCCACGAGCAAGTAGTTCGAGATGCTTTCCGCCTGGCTGGAAACAAGCTGCCAGGTTAGTAAAGTCACCCAAGTCCAATATACAGTATCGCTAACCGTCCTTTGTCAGGCCAATGGGAATTCGTCAAGAAGGGAGATCCCCCAGTTGTCGGTATCACGAAGTTGGATGGTGTGACTCTTGAAGAGTTGAAACGCCCGAGAAGGGTGGTACCAACTGAGTTGGCTGGAACTCCCGCTGAGCCGGAGGTTACAGCAAACTCTTCGAAGACGCCCTAAGCATCGTCTTGCATGAGGATTTTCAAACTTGATGTATAAAATTCTTGGGCACATAATCATGTATTCAATGGGTTCGACTTGACCCCAGTGTAACCACTATTACGAAAGAAAGCATCGTCATGTAAATATTAAGACAGATCTCACAAAAAGCTGTTTACACTGTACACCGTTTTCTAAAGTATGCCAGAGCCTTTCAACAATTTTCCAATCCCAACATGAAATTGGCTACTTGCTTGTAATATGGCTGTCCAAAATGCTATGACGGTCGCTGATGTACATTGTACCTTCAGGCGGCTCCATGTGGTCCGTGCACCCGCAGAAAGCTACATGCCCACCTGCCACTTAACGCGATCGACGCGTCTTCCAGAATGCATATCTTTTTGATTTTGGCCCATCAGCTTGATTGAGTTCAAGCATCACCAGAAAACGACAAGCAATCAACAATCATGGCTCTCATCGTGGATAAGCATCGACCACGGTCATTGGATTCATTGACCTATCACCATGAATTATCAGAACGCCTCAGATCTCTTGTACGTTCTTGCACTTCTAATCAAGTAGCACAGTCTGCTAACCAACCGGTTACTAGGCGCAAAGCAGCGATTTCCCACATCTCCTTGTTTACGGCCCGTCTGGGGCAGGGAAGAAGACAAGAATAGTAGCGACTCTAAAGGAGCTGTACGGACCCGGTGTAGAGAAGATCAAGATCGACGCCCGCGTTTTCCAGACATCCAGCAACCGCAAACTCGAGTTCAACATTGTCTCATCCATCTACCACATGGAGATAACGCCTTCGGACGTGGGGAATTATGACAGAGTTGTTGTGCAGGATCTATTGAAGGAGGTCGCCCAGACCCAACAAGTCGACCAGTCGGCGAAGCAACGGTTCAAGGTCGTCGTCATCAATGAAGCCGATCATCTCACGCGCGACGCCCAAGCAGCCCTACGTCGCACGATGGAGAAATATTCGCCCAATCTACGATTGATTCTGCTAGCAAACTCGACTGCGAATATCATCGCCCCTATTCGGTCCAGAACGCTGCTAGTAAGAGTAGCAGCGCCGACACATGAACAAATTTGCGATGTTCTCGCTCATTCTGCTAAGAAGCAAAACTGGCCAGTTGCAAAGGGACTTCATCAGCGGATAGCTATTGAAAGCGGTCGCAATCTGCGAAGGGCACTTCTCATGTACGAAGCCGTCCATGCCCAGAAGTAAGTGAAGTTTTTCGAAATAAGACTCGATAGCTGCGAAGTTGCATTCAAGCTAATCAAATATCCTCTTTCTGTGTCCATAGTGAAAAGGTTTCAGACAACACCCCAATCCCACCGGCCGACTGGGAAGCTCTCATCGGCCAAATTGCCAAGGAGATTATCGAAGAGCACACTCCTAACCGTATACTTCAAGTCCGCGCCAAGCTATATGATCTGTTAACACACTGCATTCCACCAACGACGATCCTGAAAACTCTCACCTTCAAATTGCTGGCCCTCGTGGATGATGGCCTCAAGGGTGATGTGATTTACTGGTCAGCTTTCTTTGAGCATCGGGTCAAGACGGGCACGAAGGTCATCTTTCATCTCGAGGCGTTTGTTGCCAAGTTCATGAGAATCTTGGAAATGTACCTAATGAGTGTAGATCTATAACCTATTGCAAATGGGGAAGTTATGGTGTACGGCGCACGGTCTAGGATTTTTTTGTTCTATCTGGTACTTGACTTTTTACATGTATTTTCTCCAAATTGAAAAGCACTTCTCCTAGCTAGGTGTCAAGTTCTCAGTTGACAACTGACCAAAATGGAACAGCTTCAAGCTCATGATTTCTCTCATTTGCTACTAAGCGATGTGCATTGGCCTTGGGGCGGGGTAGACTATTCAGGTACCTACATTGAGGCACCTACTTATTCCAACGACCTGAGCACGAAAGCGTCTCTGGTGCCAGCCTTTCGCCCTCCATGCCCGCCCAAAGCGCCGCACTCTGGTGGATGCTCGCTTCGTCTGCTCTCTTGGCGGCGGCAAATTGCGCCCTTTGGTTGGCAGTCCGCCTGACTGCCGACTAGAAAAGCTCAGCTGTTTCGGGGAATGTGGGCGGATTTCAGATTCTGCCGTTGGTCAGCCGAGTTTCCCTAGTTGGATGTCACTGAGCCTCAAAATATACCACGCTACAAGGTTCAGAATATGCAGTTGGCTCGGCGTTGCAGAATCCTCCCCAATGCACACTCTTGGCCGCCCACATGACTTCCTCCAGCCATCAAACATTTCAAACTGTAGCCCAATGATTGCATGAAATGACCCGTAAAAATGAACAGCGTTGGCGCTTAACAGTCACCTTTCGCCCATTCGGGGAAGTACCTTGGTTAAGCGGCGAATCACGATAAACCCAACCAACAGCACCACCAAGAGTCATCGTACAGAGTAGACATACAAACAGCCATCCCCCAGTTTTCAGTCCTAATTTCAAATACCATTCAACGCACAAGTAAGCGCAACGTTCCTATGGTTCCATATCTCCCAGCATGGCACACCAACGTCAAGAGACGGAGCTTCCACTCTTATACAACGGAGGACATCAAGACCGACAGGAGCCAAGGAGATTGACCAACTCTGAGCGCTTTCCTGTCCGAACTACTCAAAACTTCGCCAACGGTGATATGAACCGTTCCAGGACAACCTCTTGGTCTGTTGACCCCGATCAAGAAGGCAGTGTGCTCGATGGCTATGCCACTGAGACATCTTCTTCGACACAAACCATGGTCATCCCCAATACGAGGCCGAATGATGCCAGTAGCGACGCTCAGTCGAAACTTTTGCGTCCCAAGGAGACCCCCATACACATGGAGGGAGATGGGAGCGACAAATGGCATCCGTTTTGGTTGCGTCCGTCCGTACTCGGGATATTTTCTGTCTTCTTCCTGTGCTGTGCCGTGGCCCTTCCGGTAATATTGGTGTTATCAAACAGGAACAATGGACTTTTAGAAGCCCGGAGGGATCTTGAACAATTATGGAGATTCGGCCCAACTGCCGGTACATATACTCTCGTCTGCTCATTGTTACCATCGAGTCAGGAAGACTAACATTCTTTGATTAGTATTCACTCTCGTCACAGTCTTCTGGAGCAGAGTCGAGTTGCAGACTCTGAGATACTTCCCCTGGGTGCAGTCTCGACATTCGCAAGACTTTTATGCTTTGGACTATACATCCAAGATATCGCCAATCATCTTGGTCCAGTCTCTGCGTAATAAACATTTCATGGTGTTTATTATCACGCTCACCACAATCCTGCTCAAAGTCCAGATTGTTCTTATGCCTAATTTGTTCTACCTGAAGACTGTTTGGGTCTCCAGGCCTATTGACATACAAATCTGGGATTCTTTCGAGACGGGTGATAAAGATGGGTTCAACTATCTGGCTGATGGCTATTACAATGCCCGGGCGATCAGGGACTTCAATACAGGGATTCCCTTCGGGGTTGGGAATAACTCACTATATCAAACTTTTACAGATGCAACAAGGGCCAACAAAGACGCTCGTGGCACTATTGATTCGCCTATCACCGCTCGAGTGGATGGGTTATTCTTCGATGTCGAATGCCGAGAATTGGAGAGTTGTACCTCAACTGTCTTTCACGGACCCCGCTTTAACCGGTCAACCGAGGCAAATGAGACATCGGTACGCCTTGATCTCAAATTTGAAGATTGTTCCCAACCAATCCAGGTAAAGGTATTGGGGGTCACTAACTCCTCCGGTTTACCATGGCCGGAACAAAACTTCTGGAAAACGTTCGGAACCCCGAACAATTGCTCCGCGCTCCCCCACCAGTTCCGGCAATTCGTATATGTGGCAGCAAAATGGACACCCTCGCCAGAAAATAGGTCCATCCCTATCCAAAACGCCTGTGCCGCCGTTCTTTGTTCGCACACGGCTTGGGTATCGAAAGTGGATATTTTGGATGATGGGAATAAACCTAGCATGGCAATACCACAAGATCAAACGAAGAATCCCATAAAAACGAGCATATATCAACTCCTCTGGAAATCGATTCCCGAATTACTTGGAGGTAACAGATGGTATTTCCCCTTACTACCAGACGGTGGGATTTCAACAATATTCGGGAAAGTAAACGGTGACCTCATGGTGAATACATTCTTACGCGAATCCCTCGATATAAGCGTCAAGTACATCAACGGGACTCCTGATTCGATATATGATACAAAGCTTCTGCACGGGTCTGTGTTGAACGTGACACAAACCTTAGGTTCTATTGTTGCGCACCACCAGCTTCGAAATAAAGAAGAAATCCGGACAATAGGGTCAAGGCCTTTCGAAACTGCTAGGCTCCAGCTCAATCAGCCAGTCTGTATCTGCTTAGTCGTATTCTCCACGCTCTTGGCAATTATTTCTCTATGGGCTATGCTCAAATACAGAGGAATGTTTGAAGACTGGGATAAAGATCCAGCCACAATTCTTGGTTTAATGGATTTTTTTCATGGCAAAGGGCTTGATTCTGTTCCCTCTTTATGGCAAAAGAGAGGAGCCAGATCCAGGTTATGGAGACAGGTCCAGGACTCTCCTCTGCCCCTTCCAACCTGGCTAAGGCTGATCTTTACGTTATATGTTTTAGGGCTAATTATTAGTCTTATTATTATACTTAAGGTGTCGAAAATATCTGATGGAGTAGTGACTCTTGGAGAAGGAACTCCATCTCTTTGGTGGACTGTGGCTCCTACCTTGGCTTTCTTCCTAGTCACACTTTACACTACTTCATCAGATACAGCGATCCGTGACCTTGCTACCTACTCCACTCTTAGTACACGCTCCTGTACTATAAGAGAGATAGATGTTTCATTGTTGGACATGCTTGGATTGAGAGCTTTATATTACTCGCTAAGGTGGAAAATATATTCAGTTACTCTTTCGCAAGTGTTGGCCATGGCCTGCGCCTTCTTGGTGTCATTTTCATCTCTCCTTTTTACTTCTCAAAGTATATCCGGCAACTCCGCTATCAACTTCAAGCAACAAAGTTGGTTTGGTTCTCGACCTCAAATCCAAGAGACCGAAGCAGGAAAGCTGAACGAAACTCTGATATCAAGGTACGCTGTGGGAGGATTATTTGCTGCGGAGAGAATCACCAACTTCACCTGGCCTGAATTCACATATCGCGATCTCATCTTTCCCCGTCTAGAGGTCGACGCCCCCAACCGGGATTGGAATTCGAATGTGACCTTTGAACTTGAAGCGCCGGCTATCAAGTTGACGTCGGAGTGTACGCCGCTTCCTAAAGACGTGGTGACATTCAAGCCCTTCTATAAAGTTCCTGGCATGATGACGTTGGCCGGAGATGTGATTTACGCTTGCCCCAACGGTACCACTTTCAACGTCTCATCCGACCCTTCCTCTGACTACTACGAAAATTACTACATAATGGGGGAGTTTCCAGTTCCACCCGCTTTATGTCCAACCGATCGCTGGATGATAAAAACATTCTATTGGGGTAAGAGTGCGCAAAAACCGAACTTCGACCATCTTGCCGTTTGGAGATGTAACTACACTTGGTCTGAGATACCAACGAAACTGCATATGCGTTGGAGCACGAACGGTCTGCAGATAGATCATCAGAACCCTCCCAAGCCAGACTACTCTAAAGCGAAACCATTATATCCACCATTGCCTGCCCCAGAGTTTCCATGGTGGGATCAATCTATCTGGCCAGATGTGTCAGTAGATGAACCAGGACGTCCCTACAGGGGAGTCAATGTTCGACTACGTCATCTATTTAACATTGGCGGTGGTCCTTTGAACGAGACAGATCTCGGTGATCCAAACATGGAACAAACAATATTGGGCAATATCCAGTCTAGCTATAGCTTAGCTGCTGGCCAGTTAGCAAACGCTCTGAACCGACTCGATCTCGAGGAAAAATCAACAATGGACCCTGAGCATCCTGGAGAACTGCCCCTTCTTAGTGGGATCGTAATAGACAACAGGCGACTCCGTCTCATCCAAAGTCCGCAAATGACATATTTTGTACTCAGCATTCTAGCACTTGCGTTTTTCATTAATACTTGGGCTTTAGTCTCAACTGGATTAAGGCGCTGGGCTAACTATAAAGGGAGATGGTCGCTGGATTTGGAGATGAGAGACTTGGCACCGCCAGCTTTTAACAGCATAGCCATATCGGATGCCCTACTTTATCCTTCGAACTATCAGAAATACATGGGCTCGGTGGAAAAAAGTCATATGGGGTTGGAAGATCTACGCTTCCGCCTGGGGTGGTTCATGAGAAAGGGGGCACAGGAGAGGGAGCTGACAATTGGCGTAATGGATGATCCCGAGTTTCAGTTCTTGGGAGAGAAACAATCGAATCGATGAATTACTCATCGATACCGATAGCTCTTTCTTATCGGTACATTATGTAAATATTTATTAGCAAAACATAGAGTATAAATACCATCACCTGGAACAGCCGCATTGAAGCCCCTTCGTTTGGGACACTACGAAATGGTCGGCCAACCGGCTCGAAGCTGGTCCAAGATTGATTGAGCATGGCTATGATCATCTGATCCCTACCCTTATCCCTTCTTTGAAATTTCCCGGTACCCATCTTTCAGGCCAATTAATGACCTCGTTTTCATGTTATATCAAGTCTCGTCCTAGTTGATCATCCAAAGGCGATATTAGGCAATCAAGTGGCTTATTATGCTTGTAATGAGAAGAAAGAAAAACAATCCTTTTCTCATGGAGCAGAAACCTTTCAAATGGCAGGGATAACTGTCGTTTATTAAAAACGTATAAACAAATTCAACAAGTTCAAATTTAGAAAATTAAATTAAAGCAAAGGCTCTTAATGGTAGAGGTAGGCAATGACATTTGGAGACCTACGATATCGCACCGAAGAAGGCGCCAAAGGTCTTACTCTCGGCTTGGCGGCGCCACCATAAACGCATGTACAATGGCAAAGAAATTAATTTTCGGCCCCTAGATCAGGAACCCGAGTAATTAGGTTTGCGGAGAAAGGCCTAGTTTCAAAGGGCGGCAAGGAGACCTGGGTGCTTTGGAGACTACGAAGGACGAATTGTGCTGTGATTTCTAATATTGTGCGATGTAGTATTCTGTGAATTTCAATGAAATATGTTTTCACGTTGAGCTTCTGTGGCCATGACTCCGGTTCCGATGAATCAAAGAAACGGTTGTCTTGAGGTTAGGCTAAGATGAGTGATACAGCTCATGCGTCGGAGGCCACCAGGCGGAGCAACGGATGAGTTGACAGGACCCCCACAGCGCACAGCGGCCAACCGAGGAAGGGATGATTCATCGCTGATAAGCTACCGAGCGTGGGAGGTAGCACTGCGCTCCAGTCCGTTTAGTCCCAACCCCGGACCAGAGGTGGTGACGGGGACCTGGGGTAACGGAGTGACAAGTTGCATTCGGGAACAACCGTAGACATCATTGATGTTTGCCACCCATCTGAGCGAAGCAGAAAATATTAAGGCGAAAGAACCCGAATTCCTGCCCAAATGGAAAGCTGGCCGCATCTCCTACATACGTACTCTTATATACAGCTACAATGGGATCGTTGCTGGTGTATCCAACGTCTAGTAGCTGCGTGTGTAGGGTATCTTCATGAACCATCAGACCGGAGTGATACAGGACACCTGTCGCCGCGCTGTGGGGATTTCGCTGGCCAATGGCATTTTGGGGAGGGCCAATGGGGTTGAATATTCCCCAAATTATGCTCGGTGACAATGGCGATATGCACAATGCTATCCATCGTTGTTGCAACAGGAGATGCTGCGTCTGCGTCTTCAGTGGCTCGAGGTGCACCTGAACCCTGGCAAGAAACGGGGCAGATTGCGGGGGAAGCGTGGATACGCAGACTGCCGGGACACTCGGCGGCGTCGGGGTTGGGGAGGACCTGGTTTTCTTTTATTACCCTCTTTAAATAGCAGTTCGTCCTACCAGTGAACGTAGTTCAAGTGGGAGTTTTCCACATCTGCCGACTGACCTGGCACTCTGGATGACCAGTCATACGAAGCACCTGTGAATCATCCCCGGGTCCTAGACCGATTGTCCCGTGTTGGGCTGGACGGATCTCCAGTTAGATCGCGGCCAATTTGCAGGAGTTGGGGTCTTGAAAGGCGAAGGGTCCAACAGAATGGGGGCTTTTGGTGCAATGTGGAACCGATTATCCCTGTAGGTGGTCCCCTTGCTGCTCTCGTCATCCTTGTCGTGGGACGATGATTCAGTTTGGAAATTTCCTGTACGTGCAGTCCGCCATGGAGAAACACGGCGAGTCTCCCCAGGTGCCAACAAGCAATCCTGGACACAGCAGGCCGTGAGCCAATGGAAGTCCCGGAGCTAAGCATTTATTGGACTGGGATGCGAAGGTGGTCATTCGTGATCCTTCCCTCTGCTCCCTTCCCACATGGAAACCCCAACAATCGCAAGGTTGTGTTCGGACTATTGTCAAGATCCTGTGCGGATTCACGTCCGTTCCCATGGGTGGGCAGTCCAGACAGGAAGGCATCGACCTCTACAAGATCCCCCCCCAAAACTCATATGCCAGAGGACAAAGGTAGCAGAGGCGCATTGTGTTTTCTAAGGGTGATAAATATCTTCGCAGTACGTAATAAGCTACAATAAACGCTCCATAAAACGGGGACCGATTTCGCAGAAGACTCTTTTATAAATTAGACGTGCCAGGCCTGCCTCCATGCATGCGCCATGGCTCTCATTGGGTAGAGGCATGTAGTATCAGATTTGTTGAGCCCCGAAGGCCTCCGTGATGCAGGCCGGTGGCAGACATCTAACTGGATGTTTACCTATCCAGATTACCCCCAGCTACTGCGTGCTTGCCTGGGGGAGCAAGCCTGGCCGGACTGAAGGGACAGCCGAGGGAACCAATGCTGGGCCAGCAATTGAGCATCATGACCTGCCCCAAGGCGGGAGGATCAGAGGGTTTGGGTTAGCCCGGAACGTAATGCCGCGTGTGATCATCATGGCTCTACGTAGGTAGTATCTCAGTCAAAAGATGTCAGCGCATAAGGTTGTCAATCCAGGCTGTCGCTCGGCCGACAGGAGGGCGGCCGGGCTGGCACCCGAGTCTCAGAATAGGCTGTCACGCAGGCTAGGGCGTGGTGGGCGATGGGATGTGGTAAGGGGGTTCTTGAGAGCCGATGGTGTTGCCGATGGCAGCGCGACAGGACCAAGTTGCTGCTCGGGGCAAAGGAGCCAATGGTGGGACTGGCTTCAGCGAGGCACCGTCGCTGCGGCTGCCCAGAGTCCACCGGAGCTCCCTACCAAAAGCAGGCACAGCAGTTTTATCTGGAGGCTGTAGTGAGCTCGCCCCGCCATCTTTCCCAGTACGGCGGGCACCTGCGTGCAGCGTCCAATGGGTGCTGGCGAGGTGGAATGTTGGGGATAGCCGGGATGGTGTCCACCAACGCCTAGAGGCTACCTACTGAGTAGCCGACCACACCCACTCCCACGCCACGTTCCCACGCCTGGACCTGCGCTGGCAGAGGCACGAGTCGCGATACCGGCCGGCCGTCTGAAATGGCTGCTTCACCAGGGATGGACAACTCCCGTTATCCATGGATCCTTTCTGCCTACCTAGGTACCCATTACTCTACACCATTAATCATACGCCTCCGCACCGTGAGAGAGCTCCTTCTCCTGTACCCCGGCCCGTCGCAATTTCACCATAAAAGTATCGCGTGCCCCCTCGCCTTTCTGCGCCCCTCCACTAGTCTCGCCCGTCAATTTCTCCTCCTCCTCCTCACCTCTCCCACCTGCTCTCTCCTGTCCCTTTCAACTCGAGGGCTCTTCTTGCATCATCTCCGTCCTTTGCTCAGTGACCAGCAAGTTCCTGTGACATTTATGCGACTTTGGCCCCTGTACTGGAGAACCTAGAACGTACCCCGCATCGACCCCTCCAGCGCTCTCCAGAATCGAAGTACTGGTAGCAGCATCGCGAGATCTCCCCCACGATACCACCTTGACCGTCTACTACCTGATTCCTCGGACCGAAATAGAGTGTTATTAGCCGCTCGCCGGGAATATCACAACGCGATACGACAGAGATTTATCGAGAACCCTAGCCCAGCCGATTTCAATTGCACATAGTCACAATGGCTGAAGCCGTTGCTGATCACCCGGCCAAGGTCGTGTCCGAGGCCCATGGCGTCGACACTTTCCGTAAGAACCAATTCCCCATCGCCAAATCGGCAACCAAGATTGCGCATACTAACCTTTTTGTAGACCCTCCCCAGAAGATGTTTGAGAGTATGCTTTTGGCTCCTCCCCTCCAGAATTGGCTTGAAGTTGAACTGTTTTTGTTGGCTAACCGACGCTTTCACTCTATCAGAGCATCCCAGCAAGCCCCACATTTCAAGTAAGTAGGAAGACATCCGCTTTACCGACGCTGTGATTGGTCAATGTCCCACGTTCCTCGAGAGATGTCCGGCTGCCGGGCTCTTGAGCGCACTTCTCTCGGTCGCACTTGTTCACCGTGCTAACAAGTCTCCGTCGCTAGATTTAGAAGAGTACCAACAACTGTACAAGGAGTCCATCACAAAGCCCCACCAGTTCTGGGGCCGCAAAGCTCGCGAGCTTCTCAGCTGGTCCCGCGACTTCCAGACCGTCCACAGCGGCTCGTTCGAACACGGAGACAACGCTTGGTTCGTCGAGGGTCAGCTGAATGCTTCCTACAACTGCGTCGACAGACACGCCCACGCAGACCCTAACCGAGTCGCCATCATCTACGAAGCCGATGACCCCAGCGATGGCCGCAACGTCACATATGGCGAGCTCCTGCGGGAAGTCTCCAGGACCGCCTGGGTCCTCAAGCAGATGGGTGTCCGAAAGGGCGATACTGTTGCCATCTACCTGCCCATGATTCCCGAGGCCATCATTGCCATCCTCGCTTGCTCCCGTATCGGTGCTATCCACTCAGTTATTTTCGCCGGTTTCTCATCCGACTCCCTGCGCGACCGTGTGACCGATGCTGGGTCCAAGGTTGTTATCACCACGGATGAGGGCAAGCGTGGTGGTAAGTTGATTGGAACCAAGAAGATCGTCGACGATGCCTTGAAGCAGTGCCCCGATGTATCCCACGTTCTGGTGTACAAGCGCACTGGCTCTGAGATCCCCTGGACCGAGGGCCGTGACTACTGGTGGCACGAGGAGATTGAGAAGTGGCCTGCCTATATCTCCCCCGAGCCGGTGAACTCTGAGGACCCCCTTTTCCTTCTCTACACATCCGGGTCGACCGGCAAGCCCAAGGGTGTTTTGCACTCTACCGGTGGATACCTGCTTGGATGTGCTATGACTGGAAAGTACGTCTTCGATATCCACCCTGGCGATCGCTACTTCTGTGGTGGTGATGTTGGCTGGATTACCGGCCACTCTTATGTCGTGTACGCCCCTCTTCTTTTGGGTGTTACTACAGTCGTTTTCGAAGGCACCCCCGCCTATCCCAACTTCTCGAGATACTGGGACATCATTGAGAAGCACAAAGTCACACAGTTCTACGTCGCCCCCACCGCCCTGAGACTGCTCAAGCGCGCTGGTGATGAGCACGTCAAGGCACAGATGAAGGACCTCCGTGTTCTTGGCTCCGTCGGCGAGCCCATTGCAGCTGAGATCTGGAAGTGGTACTTCGAGGTTGTCGGTCACGAGGAGGCTCACGTTGTTGATGTAAGTTCAAGAAGATCTGTGTCTACCCTGGTTGTTCCAGTGCTAACTTCAATTGAAAGACCTACTGGCAAACAGAGACCGGATCTAACGTCATCTGCCCTCTGGGTGGTGTTACACCTACCAAGCCTGGTAGCGCTTCTCTGCCTTTCTTTGGCATTGAGCCCGCAATCATCGACCCTGTCTCCGGAGAGGAGATCCACGGCAACGACGTTGAGGGCGTTCTCGCATTCAAGCAGCCATGGCCCAGCATGGCCCGCACGGTGTATGGTGCCCACAAGCGATACATGGATACCTACCTGAATGTGTACAAGGGCTACTACGTGAGTTATATATCCCCCTTTGGTGGGTAACTGGGTACCTTGACTAATGCATATCTTTTAGTTCACCGGTGACGGCGCTGGCAGGGATCACGAAGGCTTTTACTGGATCCGCGGACGTGTTGACGATGTTGTCAACGTCAGTGGTCACCGTCTGTCCACCGCTGAGATTGAGGCTGCTCTGATTGAGCATCACTCTGTCGCCGAGGCTGCTGTGGTTGGTGTTGCTGATGAGCTCACCGGCCAGGCTGTCAACGCCTTTGTCGCTGTCAAGGCAGGACAGGAGGCCAACGATGCGCTGCGAAAGGAGCTCATCATGCAGGTCCGCCGAAGCATTGGTCCCTTTGCGGCCCCCAAGGCCGTTTACATCGTGCCCGACATGCCCAAGACTCGCAGTGGCAAGATTATGCGTCGTGTTCTGAGGAAGATCCTCGCCGGTGAGGAGGACCAATTGGGAGATATCACAACGGTATGTTTGCCTGTTTCACTCATTCTCCTACGACTGCGCATTTGGCTAACTGAAATATCTACACAGCTGTCTGATCCTACGATCGTGGAACGCATCATTGCTAGCGTTCACGCTGCGAAAAAGAACTAAGGCGCAGGCCACAATAAGAAAAAAAAGAAAGGAAAAACAAAGAAAAAAAGACCATAATTACCAATATGCCCAAAGCTTTCTCATTGAATAATGATGGCCATATAACGATTGCCCCAGCGATTGTTTGATAGTTTACTCTTGTATATATTCCCAATAGTGATGGCGAAATGAGGAGCTTGGCTATATAGTTTGGATATTTAACCACCACCTAGATTATTCTCAATATTAGGCGTTTGTAAATATGTCCTGCACTGCTCATATTTTGGTATCGTTCGTCTTTCGCTGCATGACCCGCATCATGATGCAGGGTTCAAATGCCTTCTACGGGATTTAAGTAAGCTTGTATGGGAACTACTCAGCATTATCCCATCCGGTAGCAAACATCAGACTGAATACATCATACTGGGAAACACAAACATGGATCAATTGCCCGTGATCTTATTTGCATCATCTGAAACCGTTCCCGGCGCTTGCGCTAATCCTGGTTGTTGATTCAAAGGGTTTGACCATGACACATTTGAGGACCCCTGGCAGGTTTGAACACGATGGGATGCGAGACAGATAATAATCTGCACCTGCTACGTAAATCTCTTGGGCGGCAGGGGTCCGCGTACGTACAAGGCAAGCATCTGGGCGATCCGAAAATTACTCACCAGCGCGGCCAAGAGACAGACGGAAGGACGAGGATCAGCTCATTCTCAGTACTTTGGAGCTGAAGAATGCCCAGGTTGCACTTGACGCAGGTCCTTTCGTATCGCGGGGGGGGGATTTCCCGCATCCCTTTGTGACACTCGCATTGAACGACGGCGGCTCAATGCTGTTTCAACCATGGGTGATGCTTGGCTGGGTCCAATAGCTGGGTGGGAGCCGGCATCGTGATTATTACTGGGACCAATCCAGCCAAGAGCCAGCTAGCCATGGCCGGGAGACCAACAGCGGCTTGGCTTGCAGCGCCGAGAACAAGCAATTTGCCGGATTATTGGGGGGCTGTGAGCGTGGGTGCGTGCACGGCATCTGTGGCTTCCACGGTGTCCCAGGCAAGCGGGTGCGGCGGTTTGTAAGCGTGTGTTTTCAGATCAGCTTTCCTGGCGGGAACCGAGCAAGATGCACCGAGAACTCATCTTTTGCCATGGTTCGTGGTGCAGGGATGGCGGGTGATTCTGACTGTTCACGTGTTGGGGGTGCTAAGAATAGTGGTGCAAGGAACCAGCATGCAGTTTGGTGGCCCGTGGGAGGGTCAGCCAACAGCACAGCACCCGACAACACTGGCCTGCAACCGCCCTGCTAAGAATAGGATGGCCGTGGCACTGCCGTCCCTGGGTGATCGCTACCTATGAGCCTAAAACTGGTCCTCTCAGTGGCCTACGGGACGTCCCCGCTGCCCGTCAAGGGACCTAGAACTTGCTGCTGGTGGGGGGATTGAGAGTTTGCACCATCCACATTTTATTTTTGCCCAGCCTTGATTATCTGATGCGCTGACGAGTCCTGTGTCCACATTCGCTACGCCTCCGGATTTTGGCTCAGCGCTGCCCCGTTCTGATCGTCTCTCGCTCGTTTGGTTGGTGTCAGCCGGTCAGCCCTGCCCATACGCCAGTGGTGTCTATCCTGTTTTCTTCCCGTCTAGCTCGCTCATTCACTCTCTACTCCCGCCTACCTAATATCTTAGGACGACCGACCACACCGACCATTCATCGTGAGCGAGCCACACCCACTGCGTTCCCTCTCAACCGCCGCACCCTCCTCACCGGTCTCTGTCGGTTCGGTCCCATCACCAGAAGCCTCAACCACTCGTTTGCTGGCTGGCTACCTGATTTAAGATTTATATATATATATTGCCCGGCCTATAGTCCCCCCCGGGCGTGTTTATTTCGCCCCGTTCCCAGTGGAGGTCTTCTGTTGCATGGCTTGGAGTTGTTAGCGTCATTCTCTTGATAGTCCCGTTTTTGGGTTCGCTCCCCGTTACTTTCGACGATGATTGCCCTGCGGCCCATTGCCGTTGCTATCGCGGGTGCCGCGTTAGTGTTCCAAACGGCTCTAGGTAGGTTTCCGTCGCTCACGAGAGGGAAACATTCTGGTTCAACGACTGACCGGCCGCTGCCTCCGCTTACCAGGCCACTCCCTTCAGCGTAATCCCGTCAGCTATGTCTCGCTCGTAGACGAGCCCGTCATCGACACTCCGTCGCACAAGGTCCACTCCCGATCGAGCTTCGACCTGACATTTACTCTTCACAACGGCGACCAGCCGATCCGGTTTGTCCTGGAGCCGAACTACGACCTCCTCCACGATGAGTTCGCCATCACATATGTCGGAAGCGACGGCGAGACCCGGACGACAGAGCCCATCCCCGCCGAGTCCCATCGCATATACAAGGGGCGTGCGTTTGTACATCGCCATGGACGTTCGGGCTGGTCGCATGCTGGATGGGCGCGTATCACGGTCCGCCAGGATGGGCTGAAGCCTGTTTTCGAGGGCGCTTTCCGAATCGATGGTGATAGCCACCACATCCACACGGTTTCGAACTATCGCAAGGTGAAGCACCAGGACGATCCGGAAGTCACTGTTTCTGAGGATAGCGGGGATAGGATGGTGGTATTCCGAGACTCTGATATTATTCCTGATTCCGATATGGAGCTCAAGAAGCGCGGATTGGTGACGGAGTCCAACTGCGGTGCTGATACATTGGAATTCAACAGCCAGTATGATGCCAACCTGCGAAAGAGATCTCTGGCATCCATCAGCGCCGCATCCCTCTTTGGCCGTCAGACAGTCGATACTGGTGATGACGCTGGTGCCAACTACTACTCAACTATTGGATCAACCAAGGGCTGCCCTACAACGAGGAAGGTTGCCCTGGTCGGAATCGCGACTGATTGCAACTACTGGTCGGCATTTGACAAGGACAAGGATAAGGTGCAGGAGCATGTTATCAGCATGGTCAACACCGCATCTCAGCTTTATGAAGACACCTTCAACATTTCTCTAGGTATCAAGAACTTGACCATGATCGATCAGGAGTGCGCTTCGACTGCCTCCGACCAGTCCCCCTGGAATTTGGGCTGCAGCGACGGCGACCTCAGCAAGCGATTGAACCTCTTCTCTGATTGGCGCGGCCGATATGCGGACAAGAATGCTTACTGGACGCTTCTCACCACTTGCGCCACCCAGTCAGCTGTTGGCCTTGCCTGGAGAGGCCAGCTTTGCCGTGAAGGCTCGTCCCAGGCCAAGGGAAGCTCTGGAAGCAACGAAACCATCGCTGCGACCAACGTTGTGGTGAAGACATCCGCGGAATGGCAAGTGTTTGCACACGAAACTGGTCATACGTTCGGTGCTGTTCATGACTGCGCTAGCTCGACTTGCCCTGTCAGCACTACCACACAATCTTGCTGTCCATTCAGCTCGAGCACCTGTGACGCCGGCGGCAAGTATATCATGAACCCGTCCACGGAGTCTGGTATCACCAACTTCTCTCCTTGCAGTATTGGTAACATTTGCTCTGGGCTTCTGGGTACCGTTGACGATGAGTGTCTGTCGGACAATAAAGACATTGGTACTTTTACGGGCAGCCAGTGTGGAAACGGAATTGTCGAGACTGGTGAGGACTGCGACTGCGGTGGCGAGAAGGGATGCACAAACAACTCGTGCTGTGATGCGACCACGTGCAAGTATAAGACCAATGCCGTTTGCGACCCAGACAACGAGAGATGCTGCACATCCTCGTGCCAGTTCCTGTCCAAGGGCACCATCTGTCGCGAGAGCACTGGCCAATGCGACCCTGAGGAGACTTGCCCCGGTGATGCGGGTGACTGCCCAACTGATAGCCACCTTAATGATGGTGATGGATGTGGTAATGGATTGCATTGCGCATCGGGCCAGTGCACGTCTCGTACCGAGCAATGCCGCACTACCCTTGCTAGCAGCAAGATCAGCAACTCCTCTATCCAGAGCTGTGCGTATGATGTTTGCCGCATAGCCTGCACAACTGGAGGAGATACTTGCTCTATCTACAACACAAACTTCCTCGACGGTACCGACTGCGCCGGCAAGGGCAAGTGCAAGACCGGATCCTGCGAGGGCTCGAGCACCTGGGGCAGGATCCAAGAGTGGTTCGAGGACCACAAGAACATTGCCATTCCAGTGGGCAGTGTCATCGGTGCTCTCCTCCTGCTTGCCATCGTCAGCTGTATCTGGAGCAGCTGCAAGCGCCGCAGGATGCGCAACGGTGCAGCAGCTTTCACTCGCGGGGGTCACCCATCCCGTGCCCCTGCCTATGGAAGCTATGAGCCGGTGCCGCCCATTGAGGAGAGGACGTGGAACCGCAATGCCAGCACAAGATATGCTTGATACATTTCTGCATAGAAGGAGCTTTCTTTGCACCTGAGCATAGATCATTGCATGTTGATTCTGTTTTTATTTTCCCTTTTTTGCTTAGAACTGAGCAGGTCTTTATGCGGTTGTTGCATCATTTCTGCTGGCGTTATGGTTGATCTTTTCCCGCCTTTTATGGTTGATGATACTATACTTCTCGTCGTCTATTTTTGACGATTATTGTTATTGGCATTTGCATAGATGGATTCAAAGAAGCACACTGGGTTCGAACAGGCTTGGATGTGGGTGGCTGGATGCCAATATTCGGGGCTTGACCGATATTCTGTTCCTTGACATTTTCTACCCCCGTTTTGGATTATACGTTGTAACTTGGAAAAAAAACAGCCTCATCGGCAAGCGCAAATAAGAAAACTGTTAGACATTCAACATAGCTTTTTTGTTCAACTGGTGATTTGTTCATTAGATCATTATAATCGTGCCTCATACTTGTTCCACAGTCCCTCACTTGTAGAAACGCCAGTTCGCCTCACCCGCAGAGTCGGCACCTCATCCGCTCGAGGGTCCCCCGATAGTGAAACCGCCAGTACCACTCACGATCCGCTGTCCCAGCACCGGACCCTTCAGCGGGGTGGACGGGTTGCTCTTCGAGCCGTTCTCCGGGCCCATGGTGAAATCCGGGTTCATCCTCTCGGGGCCCAGGCCGCAGGCCATCTGCATGAAGCGCAGCCGCTGGCTGGAAATAGACTGTGTGGCGAGCACGAAATCCCCAAGCGTTAGCCGTCGCGGTTCCCCCAGAGTACGTCAAGATGAAACAAGGCGACAGAGAAATGAAGAGGATTATGAATGCAAGTTGGCGAACGAGCAGGGTTCAACGTACATCATTTTCGCTCTGCGCGTACATCATCAGCTTCTCCGGGTGGTCCAGCACCGACATGGCATAGCTCCTACGTTCTCTGGCCTCGTACGTATCCTTGGGAAGGCTATCCATCCATTCATATGTAAGTGACACATTCTTCCATCCTCACACATGGGCCACTGCGAATCAAAGATGCGTGGGACAATAAGGAGAAGGGGGTTCCGTGAGAATGGACCTACCACTGGCCAAGCCCAAGGTGCATTACAGAGTGGTGGTCCTCGTGCCCAGGATGGCCTTGGAAAGGGTTCTTCCCCCGGGCCTGCAGATCACGCATGGCGGGAGTGAAGGTCGGAGTCAATGGCGGTGATCCCTGCTGCGGTTGCTGAGTCGGCATGATGGGCGACGTAGGTGAACGCAATAATTGAACCTTTGGCTCTTGAGTGTGGAAGACAATACATTGATGTAATGCTCACGCTTCAAGACCCGACATGGACACCGAGCTGTTGGCATTATTGGTGTGCTTGTTCGATGACTAAGTCGCCGCTCCTCTCCAATGAGGTGCCAACTGAGCGATTGAAGAAATGAGACACCAAATGTCTGGTCCTGCTACACTTCTAGAGCTATGATGGAGTATTGCTGATTACTCCAGACTAATGATAAACAAATAATCAGATAATGCACTCTATGTCATCGAATTATATCACTTTTTTGTTTGTCATTCTGGTTGTTGTATATTATGCTCTACTTATACTTGCTCATCAATTGACTTGGTTAACTTTCAAGCTAGGTGGGTATTGATAAAGATTTCATGAATTACATCCTAACTATTTCCTTTATTTTTTGTACAGAGTTGCACTGGCAACCAACTGCCAGCGGACACCGTCATCACTCGTTCATTGCCTTCCCACCCGCACTGCTATGTAGCTCCAACCGTACACCAGTTTTGCCTCTATCCCAATTCATCGTCTGAAAGGCAACGGGAAGAGAATATGAACCATAACATGGGAACAGTCGAGAATGAGATGATACTGACAGAAGAAACCCGAAGAGGGAAAAATTGACGAAAGGAGGACATCCCACAAACACTCGCCCACCCATGTACCCAAATGCCATTTCCGAAGCAAACCGAATGTTGTATACAAAAGAAAACACCGAGATAGTAAACCATACCTTCCTGCTGTGGTTGCGCCTAACCGGACACGCGTCGTCTGCTCGATATTCGAGGCGAAAAGCGCATTGTTTACTTAAAGCCGCATAGAAAACCCGATAAAAAGAGAACGTGACATCTGTAGAAACGCCGGGGCGGATTACTTATGTAATGAGTGTGACCGTCATCATCATGACTCGCTTGAGCGGTTGGTTGATTATGCCGTAGCTGAGATCATCTACTAAAATTGATCACAGCGAGCTAGATGGAAGGACTTGCGTTAGTATTTGCAGCCAGAGAAGAAACGGACGCTTTGGCTTACTCTTGAATTTGACCCATATGCCAATTTCTGTCCACTCGCGTCCCAACACAGGCAGTGCTCATCCTCTTCTTCTGATTCTGAGTTTTCTTTGGGGCTCGACCACCCCGCGTGCGACGGACGTGTCCACGTAGCTCGTGGGACAGCCGTGTTTTCGACTTTCCATATCAGAACTTGAGTCGCCGTGGCGCCGGCAATAAAAGCGCCATCCGGGGTAAATGCAAGGCGGACTATTGGAGAGCCCATGGTCAAGAAGCACTTTGTTTTGCTCTCTGGCCTTCTTGCATTCCATATCAAAATAGCGCAGTCTTCACCTCCGGTGGCAATCAGTCGCTCGTCGTCGGCCCTGGCTTGAGTTGGTGATAAAGGCTGCCACGCCATTGTGGTAATAGGGCCCCGATGCGCGGTTATCGATTTCCGCTGTCCAGACTCATCCCATAGCTATAAACGATCAGTATATAGAAAAACGTTTGGACAAATCAAACAACACCAAACTTACATCTAACACACCCTTCTCGCTAGAAGTTGCAGTGATTTTCGTCAATGGATCATACAAAACCTGCCTGAAGCTATCATCTTGTCTGGTCTCGAATTTGCGGACCAGGTCTATCGAAGCTTCCCCAACACGTAGGCAAACAAACATGTCACCTCCACCCAGAAGAAACTCATTTTCGCTAGTCCAAGTCGCATCCAGGCTGTTGGCCGTCGTATCGTAACCTGGAATCACATACGACTTTGCAGCACCTGTAGAAGATTCATACACCGTGACAATAGCGCCGGTTTTCTCGGGCGAAATCGATAGCAGCGACGTGCTTTGCGGGCTCCAGGCAAGTTTGACAACTGGGGGCTCGCTGACAGTGAGTGTTTGAAGAAGCATCCCATCAGATGAGCAGATATTGATCGCAGCCTTAGATCGCATGTCGACTGCGACCGCCAGGTTTAGACCATCTGTCGCCCAGGCAAGTGCCGTGACCGTCGTGTTCGAAGGTGTCTCAGGATCGAGCAGGGGTAGTCCATCTGGAGAAACGTAACCGTTGGGCAGCTTCCGGTCCGGGGCATAACCACGGGGAATTGACCATACTCGGGCGAGCGCATCTGTACCTGCGGCTGCCAGTAGAGTTGGGTCTTTTGGGCTCCATTCACACTGCAAAAGGATGGGTGCGTTGTTACCGTTTGCACTGTCATCACTCTCAATAGAAGATAGGGAGTCATTTCCGAGGCGATCATTTCCGAGGCGAATAAAGGTAGTGTCTGGCAAAAGCTCCTCGACTTTGTCTACCTGCGTGCCTTGCTCAGGGCCGTCGGTGTGTACCATTGGCGTGGTTGCCTGCTCACCTTCCAGTGGCGATGGATAAGCGTGATTATCCTCATGAAGCTGCTGCTGGTGACCTTCCTGTGTGTCGACATCCATAGGGGTGGTGCCGGCGCCTGCATCCAGCCCATTCTCGAAACTGTTGCTGAGCCGTTGGCGCTTAATCGGAGATCCATTGGGTAATTGCTGCTGATGTCGTTTACGATTAATCTCCAGATCCTCGGAGGGTGGCGCGGTGACCGGGGCGGGCTTAGTTATTGACGCCCGTTCAAGTGCAGCGCCGACATCCTCAATCTGCGCTGGGGGTTGTGTAACAAGGGGACCGAAAATACCGAGCTCCAACAATTCATGCTCTAGATTCGCCCCTCGGGATAGCTAAACATCGAATTAGTTGATTTTTTTTCTTTTCTTCATTTGGGGGTAGGAAAAAAAGGCTATCCAGATGCGGAGGGGTTGAGGCTAAAAGCGGAGACGGGTGATGAAATAATTCAATGAAATGAAAGCCGAAGGGGATGAGTGAACCCTATTCAAAGGCGTTGGGCGGTGGAAGTACCTGATTTGCTATGTGTTGACGCTCAAGCGCATGGTAGAGTAAGCCCCGATTGATGATGGATACCAGAGCGTGGCCTTTTACGTGGGGTGCGAACGGAAACTCTTGGTGAGGTTCCTTGATGTGCCACTCTTTTTGAAACTTGGCGGCGGTCTCGCGGTAATCTATGGACCAGAAACAAGGGCGTGGTCAGATTAGCTGTTCCTCTTTGCGTTACTGTCCTGCTGGGCACGCAGCAGGTGATTGAACCAAGGCCGAGAGGCCTGTGGCTGGGGTGCGACATACTGCATTCAAGCAAATACCTGTATTCGAGTCAGTAAAATAGCGCCAGATCAATTCAGGGACCGCGGTCATGAGGCTGGCTGGAGGCAGGCACAGTGCAAGAGGCATGGTGGCAGCAGAGAGCGAGAGGGCGGGCAAGAAGAGGGAGATGGCGAATTCGAGTGCAAAGGGGATAGATGCGGTCCAATGCGCCGGGTGGGACGAACCTCCAGACGAGAAAGTTGACTCTGTCCGAGTCGATGAATTCCTTGACAACCATGGTAGGTAGGAGAGACCGGGGCGCGCGCCTCGAAGGGCGCACCGTCGCGGAAGGTCGATGCAAGCGCTTAAAAAGCCTGGTGAGCAGGTCAAAAGCCGGAGCCGGGTGCTGGGGATCACGGGCAAGAGGCTCTCGCGGTCCAAGAGGCCTGGGTCGTCGGCGGAATGCGATTTGGCGATGTGGTGCAGCAAAGTTGAAGATTCAAGAAAGAGATGAAATCGAATCTCAAAGTTGGTGTCGGGGCAGCGGTAAGTTGGACTCCACTCCCCTTCTTTCTCCACCCGCCCAGGGAGGGTACAACGTGCCTGACATACATTGCCTCACACTACCAGCTTCCTGAGTGGTAGGTACCTACGCGCCTACCGCCACTGGGTCGGGAGGCAGGTTCCCTCGAGGTACCGTCTGTGGCTCAGCCGCTGGCCATGCACTGCAGGGCTGCTGAGGGCACTGGCGGAGGTGCCACCCAACCTCGACCTCCCAAACCTCGAAGCAAGACATATCTTCCGGTACAACGTGCAGCGCTGCAAGCCCCCAAATACAGCCCGACACGAACCAGCCAGAGCGCAAGATGGCTAGGAGAAGTACCCTGTCTTGGGGGTGGGTAGGGCCATCCAGAAGCACACACGGATACATCTAGGCGATACTGGGTGGGGCTAGTCCAAATACAGAACAAGCGTACATATGGAGCGATATCGAAGGCAGGTACTTGCCAGCCATAACTGGAGTATACTGGAGATAGGTATTGGAACGGAGACTGGTGGCCATGCCACCTAACCTAGCGGGAACTAGCACGAACATTGAGGTTTGTGACAAAATACTAATTTTCACACCATTCTCGAATTCCACAGCAAGATGGAGAGCATCACAGAGAACACGCACCCCGTCGGCACAAGAGTCATTCAGCCCAGTCCGTACCTAGTTGTGCTCTGACGAGTTCGCACTCGACCTCTGGTTTTGCACTAGACCAGCCGCTCTGTTCTATGAAGGCATCGGTTCATTTTATGTCGATCAGCTCGCCCAGCAAATTCAAATGCTCACCCCCTACGCCCCTACCTGGCGAAACTCTGGGGAGCCTGGTCCTAAGATTCAATGTGTGCCCTTATTATGATGTACCCACTACCGCGAGCTCCTGGCTCTCGACCGCGAATACGATACGAGCAGCATATTCTACATAAGTACATAGGCAGTAGAGATGCCGTTCCTGTCCTCCCGTTTGCCTACCGCCGCGTGGTCGCGCCCCCTCGTGTCAATGCTGGGGATCCAAGCCGCCCACAATGAGCCGCTTACGAAAAGCAGATGGGGTTCCAGAGTACATCCGGCTGTAGAGGAGCGACGTGGAGGCTCGGCAAGTTCTTAGCGCAGGGCCTTTCTTCCTCTTGCCCCGGGAGCGGAGACCAAAAAAAACGTACCTCAATTTAAGGGTACGTATCCCGGGAGCTACCATCCCACAAATGATGGTACAAACCATGTATAGTTACCAGTGCCACCATGGTGCTGTTCCTTGTTGAGAATTGGTGCAACAGCCACTGAGTGTGTCTTGGCGCTCCGACACATCCACAAAAGGTGCGACGCACATGAACCTCTCCAACGATTCCGTGCGCAAATTCGCCGGCCAACATCCTAGGCTGCCGTCTCCAAACAACTTCAACTTTAGACCAGCAGAAACACCGAACTGGCCGCTTGGTAGTTGCGTATGCGAGGCATCGGATAAGTGACAACCCTCACGCATGTTGCAGAGGGTGCCCTCTGACTCGCCCCCACCGCAGCTGGGTTGGCAGGCCTGGGCCGAGAAATCCTGAGACCGATCACTGTTGCAGATCGTAAGGTTTAGCACGGCAGCTAGCATTCAACTGCTGTGACTGGGACAAGCAACGGGCGGGACTTTATGATGCATACATGCGCAAACTGCCTAGCGAGATACCGGCCTGCAAGGTGCACTTCTGCACATCCAAGGGGGGCGAACCAGCGCAAATCTGGTTTTAGAGATGCCGGGCGGAGGCATGTCTTCCTCTTGTAATATTTCAACCTTTTCTTTTTAAGGTCAATTTGAAGATTGTTAACCCTGGCTCCGCCTAGGCCTGGGGAGGGGGCAAATTATGGGAAGAGCGGGTAATAATAACTCGTCCCAAAAAATGGGCTAGAAAAGGTCAGACGCGTTATTAGTACACCAGCACTCCGCCCCCCTCCCCGAACGGATCCATTCAAGACTGATCGGGACTCCCCTTTCGTCGCCTCTGGCTGCTGGAGGATTTGCAGAGCCAGAAGTTCCGTCGGTCCAACCCATCGCTCCGCCATCTAGTTCTTCGCTAAATGTGGCCAGCTCGACATCGGCCTCAAGCGGATTGATCCCCTCGCCAGCGGCACTGTCTGTTGGTGCAATGCACACCAATCATGCCCTGCATCCAGGCCTGCAGTATCAGCTCAAACAATGGGGTTGGCGTCTGGGCGCTGCGGGAAGATGTAGGCTGCAGCTGTGTGGCAGTCGTCATGAGCTACCCAGGCCCATGTTTAAAGGGTGCCGCCAGCAAACCTTGCCCACACCATCAAGCCTTGGCTTGCCTGGCACATGCGCAGGGTCCACCTCCGTCCGGACCAGTCAAGAGGCCAATGCCGCAATCTGCAATGTACCCAGTGATACGTACCGATTTCATGCGCAACTCTTCGCTTCAGGTGCTCATCTCTCTGCAGGGATCCTCAGCCCAGCCTAGTATTCCCTAGACACGTATGTAATATCGTGACCTGCCCTGCCTGCCTGTCCCGTGTAGGAATTCAAAGATGGGGCTCGGAGGGTATGTATGAAAACGCTGAAACCACTTGCTGACCGCCGCGCTTAACTGCCAATGCCAACCATGTCCAATGCATGCGGACGTCTGCACTGCTGAACTCACACCAGGATTGCTCACTTCGGCCGTAGGTCGGCCTTCTGGGAGCTGTAATCCTTGCCTCCGCTATCTTTGGGCTGTATCGAGAGCTGAGATCAAGCAAAACAAACGTGACAGCCCCTTCCACCTCCTGCCCCGGTGGGCGGCTTGCTCCTCGGCTTAGCAGATGGATTGCATAACGCCTAAAAAAGATATGACCCTCCCTTGGTCGCCCGAGTGATCATCCATCGGGAGGGGAGGGATCACATTCCAGGATCCCGGTACCAAATGTAGGCTCCCGTACATACATGATGCACAGGCAATTAATTATTTTAAGCAGTGCCTGTGATGCTGCGGGCTCACGAACAGGAGCACTGACAATTTCATCATTCTAATGTGGACCCGATAAGGTTGGTGGTGGCATGTGGATTGGACAGGAAACTAGAAATGTCAGCCAAGACCTGCCGCATTCGTCGTCAGAGACATACCAAGTGAAGAAGAAGGAGAAGAAGAACGGTTGACTGTTAGGGTCCCTTCTTCACCGCCAAGCCATTGCTAATTCCACAGCCGCATATTTGCAATTGCAGTTTCATGGGATCTCGCTGTCAATGCACGGAGGTCATAATGTTCGTGAATGTGGCACAAGATCAGCAGAAACCAACCTAAAAACTACCCGTGCTCAAAGCAGTTTCACAAAATTCCCCAACGTTCCAAATTTGCTTCCTCAGGTATCAACTTGTGGGTGTGGCTGGTGGCTGTCCGGGTAGTTTTAAGTGCGTGGCTGGTGTCCAGGGGCTAGTTGTGGCGGTGCGCGGAGAAGCAAACCAGATCACCAATTTGCTGTGGTCTACTGCGTCTAGCAAATACGTATCTACCAGAATTAGTGCTGAACTCCTATCCCGTCAAAGTCTGCGCAGAACGCTGCTCATCCAGGCTCCATCCAGAGCCATGCCACCTCGAATAAACATCCCGCCGGTGACTCGAGCGCTGCTCATTGCACTGCTATTTCAATCCATTCTCAGCGCCGCAATCCGGTACCGCCAGTGGACAGGAACCGCCGATATCCTCATCCCTTATCTGACACTCGTGCCTCAGCTGTCGATTATCTACCCTTGGACTTTCCTCAGCACTTCGCTCGTTGAAGGAAATGTATTTACCTTGGGCATCGCCGGCGCAACATTGTTTTACGGGGGGAGATATCTCGAACGAGCGTGGTCATCCCGAGAGCTCGCAAAGTTCCTGGCCCTAGTTACCTTGATACCCAACTTCTTGACATTTTTGGTCCTGGTTTTCTTCTTTACTCTAACTCGCGATGAACGCTGGACGTATGTGCAATCTTTGAGCTATCGTTTTCTCGTTGGTGGGGTTGCTCTTTGCTAATCAAGATATACAGGCTCACAGTTATCGCGGGCACGATCCCCATCCAAATCTCCTTCCTCGTGGCTTTCAGCCAACTCATCCCAGCACACACCGTGACCCTATTCCGTGGCATCTTGTCCTTGAGAGTACCACGGTTTCCGCTCGTTTATATTGGTCTCGTTACGCTCCTTGCTCTCACACCGTTGCTCACGACAGCTTCGATGTGGTTGGCTTTGTTTGGCTTCGTCACCAGCTGGACATACCTACGATTCTATAAGACCGTCTTTCCCGACCTCGAGTCCTCACAAGCTGCGTCTCTTCGTGGCGACGCCAGCGAGACGTTTGCCTTCGCCGAGTTCTTCCCACACCCCGTCAAACCGTTCGTCGCAACGTACTCGGATCTTGTCTTCCAGACTCTTGTTGCCATGCGCATCTGCACACCTTTCTCTCATGCAGACGTATCGGCCGCCCGCGGCGATAGCTTCCTCCAGCGCGGCACGCCGGGTAGTGCTCGTGCGGAAGCCGAGAGGAGGAGGGCGATCGCTCTCAAGGCGCTGGATCAAAGATTACATGCCGCCAGCGCCAACGCGGCCAGTCGATCCGCACCCAACCCCCCTGTGCAAGCGACAGGACCGCCTGTGGAAACGCAGCCACAGCCCAGCACCCAAACAGCCATGACGTCTCAGCCGGCTCCAATGCTCGGGGAGACCAAGTATGACCCCGATCATGACGATGATTCCAACTCGAGTTGAGCCGAGTCGTGCGTGAGGTTGGACGGAGTGTAATATGATATTGGGTTATTTGATACCATGGTGTAACCATGGGTGAGCCATTCGTTAGGATGTTGGCTAGAAAAGTGGCTGTCCTTGATTGACTTGCAACTATACGTGTTGATGTATTACTAGGACATACATAGCGATGCTTTTACTCCACGGGGTTTTGGGGGTTATCCGGGTGATTCTACCACATATTTCTTAGTTTCCCTGCTTATGATACTGATTTGCTTTGGTCTGGTCAACACACAACCGTCTCACATTGTCTTTCCGTGATCATGCACTTGTTAGGGCTGGATGTTTCAGGCTGCAACCTCGAGATCTTCTTCCCAAGACAGTACGTCATATCAGCCGATATCAACCGGAAAATGGTGTGGTAGAAGGGTCGGGCTACTCGCGCCTTGCGAAGATATCTTGGGTGTAGCCGCTTCAGCCACTTAGCAGCATGGCAGAAGAATGAAATCCGAGACTGAAGGGTAGTCATGGGTAGGCCACTTCATGCGATAACGAGAATAATATGTACCATGAAATGATATTAATTAACAACACTTGGTGTATTGTCTGTTAGGTATTTGTTGTTGCTCGAAAATAAGTAGAATAATATTTCATTTGGATCCAAAAACAGTCAAATACGCCCACACGAGCATGTAGCATGGTGCGAATAGCCCTACCCATAGTAAAAGCATATTACATATAAGGTAACTATTGACTTGCGACACCGGCAGCAAGTTACATCCTTTGACGTTATTGTTTCAGTGAGGAAGATGGCTCTGGGTACGGATGTGGTTCGACCGAGTCGAGTGAACAGGACTCCCGGTATCACTTAAAACGTCGCCCTTCACTTCCAGTCTCGTTGCTTGACCCCAGCGCAAAATGGCCCGAAAGGGCAAAGAGGCGGCGGAACTGGAGACCTCTCCCGGGTTGCGACACCCGTTTATATCAAACCACGAATGGAAGCAAGGGGTACATTCCCCCACTTGACTGAAGGTTGGATCCGAAGATAACCCTACCAAATTACCGGGCCTTTTGGTTATTGCTCGGGGGAGTTTTTCTGAAGTGGAGGAAGTCCTCCGGTATCATCAACGAGACGGAGTTGGTGAACGAAAACTTATCATGGGTGGCTCTGAATAACGCAATGCCATCATGCTACGTACTACCGACGTTAACGCCAGTGCCCCTAGGGTCTTCCACGAATGGTAGGTTCCTGAGAAAGGTGGCCAAAAGTACCGGAGTGTGCTTCTAAAAACAGGAAGCAGTGCCGCTCATCTGCAATCCAACGAGCTCGACCACGGTCTCGATCCATGGCATGCCTTCCCGCGCCATCAGACCACCCACGTCGCAAGCGCAAGCCTCACTGATAATGGAGGTGTGCCTCGGTAACTATTGCTCCTTTAGCTTTCCTATAGATAATTCGATAACACCATGGTCAAAATGTGTCGGAAAATGGAAAACTATTCGCCTATTGTCGTCAGAAGAGCTAGACATGAGGTTGATGTGCCATATTTAGCAGGGCTGTACCCGTAGTGCGTCTTCAAAAATACGCACTAGAAGTCACCCAGCACCCTCCATAATCGCCGGGGGCTGTAAAAGTCCGGTTGCCAGGATGTCAGATTTAACTCGGGAGGGCAGCGGATGGCAGAGCTGCACGTCAGGCAGCAGCGCCACCCTCGTTCACCACGGAGCCGGGCTGTTTTAATGCGACCCCCTTACAGGCTGTTATCAGATCATGAGAGTCCAGTTCGGCGAGCCGGCCAGAGATCAAAGGCTGTATCGCAAAGCTGGCCAAACGAGCCAACAAAGCGCAGTTCTGGGGGTCTTTGTTTATCCGATGGGGGGAGTGGGCGCTGGGAAGGGGATTTTCTCCAGGATTATAGCGATGGCGGTGGGCTAAGGCACCATGTTACCCAGCAGAGCGGGCGGGAATTCTGCCTGCCCACTACATGGGTCAGCATCCCTTTAATGGTCAGATCGCAGCATGGTTTGCACAGCGTCGACGAACTGGTACGATTACATTAAATCGCCTTGGCCGACATATGGATGGTTAGATTATGCTGGAATAAGAAAAGAACACCAAGTTTAGCTCATCACTGACATGGAGGCGCAACGGTCGAGGTGTAGTTTGATATTTTGGGGGGATACGCCAGAGCTAGGGTTGAAGGCTTAAGCAAGTGGGAACTGCCAGGCCATTAAACCAGCCAGATGTCAGAGCAGCCGGCGTAATTCATGAGCGAGATGAGTGAGGCAAGTATTGGACTTTGATACGGCACAGTTGGAGCTGAGTTCGTTTATCACTCATCACAGAACGATCTCCGCTCGGCCGCCGGACCAGCAAAAGCTGTGTGTAGGGTGGGAGAAATCGGAGGGGGGCAGGGCTGAACATAAGCGTTGGTGGGGGCTCTCAGGGAGCAGAGGCACGCATCTGCCTTGGGGATCGAACTAGTACGGGGGCAATAGCCACATGTTGGGATGATGACAGGGCGTGTGGGCAAACGGGGGAGCCGTGCAAGCTGGACGCGGAAGTGATTTGGTTCCCCAAGTGCGTGTAGAGAGCATTCATAGGTGCAAACCATCGACTAGAGTTGCTAAATGACGGCAGTCGAGCCGGGATCACACGAGCCGTTCATTGGCCAACAGACTGGGTGACGCAACTCCCGCTAAATTCCATAGTCCAAAAGGCTGAGTGGTGTTAGATGGACCCCAACGAATGCTCTGAGCAGACACGAAAAGACAAGACAAGGAGTTAACCTGCAAAATTAGCCTTGGATTGTTTACCCGGCGATTACTGGCATCGAAAGAAGCCCTTGTTCAGGGCAGCCAAAGCTATGACCTCGATAATTTAAATGTGCTCGGGCCAATCATATATGTCACTTTCGACACAGTAAATTGCCTGCTGAACCTACCCCCAACCAATAAAGACATTGGTCTGGTCGCCTGATGAGATACGTATGTCCGTGCTATGAGGCGAAAAAAGCAAGCAAGTGCATTATCAGATATGGGCGTTGGTTTGCGACATGAGGCCGAGCCAGCCCACAACCCGGCCAGAAAACAGCCCGCCCCCTGGACATGGGCGTTGGGCGGTAGGTAGCTCCCTGCAGCTGAGCTCGTGACGTCGACCAGAGAAGCAGAGGGCAAAACCAAGCAGGCAGGCGACCACGATAGCAGCCAGTACCAAGCACGAGATTCTCATCGGGATATTTATTGCAAAAGTTAATGTAAGACTCGCTTGTAGGGTGGGTGGTGGCGTATCACCGCCCAGGGTAGTACATTAGCACTATTACGTAGTGGGGAGCGCATCAGAGGGTGTGGGTGTGTGATGGGTGAGGTGTGATTGTGGGTGTATATGCAGTGCGCCCAGCGTGTGCATGCCGATGCGAGTGCCAAAATGGTGGTGGAGGGTACTGACGCTGGCTCACCGGGCGGCCCTGACGGACCAGACCAGAGCTGCCGCTTTTGGGGGGCGGGGCGGTGGGGTGCATGATACTGTGTTTCTGCACATCCACATTTTCAGAAAGGGATACGTACACGGTATCACAGGCGACAAGGGCCGAACCTCACTAGGAACACCTCACGAGTCACAGCCTGCTGGTGGTTGGGGTTCATGCCTGACAAATCGAATCCTTCAGCCCAATTGGCAGCCCTCGGCTTGAGGCAACCGTCGGCCACCTTCATGTGCCCAACGGCGATGCAAGTATCGCCGTGCCCTCTGGCGTCGTCGGCGCTTGCGTGCTGGTCGTTCGCGTGCGCTGCCTGCACTGCGTGCGACCCTGCGCTGCTAGGGCGCCGGCCCAGCTACGAGCCGAGTCAGTGGAAATAGAGCCGGCCTGGTTGCCTTCATCTATCTCACCTAAGGTTAGGTCCTTACCTTACCTACTACGGAGTAGACCTTGCCCGGGCTGGACCAACATGAGGTACTTGGGTACCTGCCCACCTGCCGACATCAGCAGCCGGGGTCAGATTAGCGCGTATGTACTCCGTACCTGGTGCAGTGTTGTCTTGCAAGGGGAGCAAGCCTCGACAGCCGCCATGGCCATGTTGCCTGCATTCCAAAAAAAGCGGAGTTGATGGGTTGGGGGAGTTTGGAGCCCCGCTTTTTTCGTTTGAAGGAGAGTTTCGCTGTTCCCCCCTTCTGTTCGTTCGATCCATTCGAGCCGCCTTCGTTTCTCCCGATCCCCAGCTGCTTCTTCTCACCTCCATAGGATCCAAAGGAGTTGGCGCAGATTGGGATCGAGTCCTCAACCACATTGGCCTACCCTCCCGCGCTCACCATTACTTATTATTCGTACCCTGCCCCCATATCTTCCCTACACTCACTTCACTGTTTTCCCCCGGTTCCGCGCCAGCTTCACGCCTTGACTTTTATTTTGTTCCACGTCCGCGCCAGACCTGACCGCCACACATTGGGCCCTCGCGCCCAGCTCAACGCTTCAACCATCGAATCAGTCGCACCCTGGCGTCGTTAGATACCTATACCAGAGCTTTACAAGCTGTCTACGAGTTGCCCAAATCTTAACCCGTCCCGTTTTCGTCAAGTAATAGAGCTTGATGCGCCATGGCCAACCACCATCCCTCTCCCACCATGATGCAAATACAGCAGCAGCCAGGGCATCATCAGGGCCACCAAGCGCCCCCTCCTCCACCACCCCATCCCCATCAGCAAGGCGGCCATTTCCCATCATCAGGCCATGCCATCGCAGCAGCAAATGAGGCAGTATGGCTCCAGATCGGTAAGTCTGGCGTGTTCTCCCACCGTTGCGCTGGATAACGTCGTGCTAATACTCTCTTCTTAGGCAGCTGTTCGGAGCTTCTACGCGTCCCAGACGAGGCCATGCACGCTTATGAGCGTGCACTAGGGGCCAACAACAACTCAATCCCGGCCATGAATGCTATCGGCATGCTGCTCAAGGGCCGCGAGGCGTATGACAAGGCGCTGGAATACTTCAGGGCTATCACGCAACTCGACCAGACAAATGGAGAGGCTTGGGCGAACCTTGGTATGTCAAACGCGCGTTCGACTGATCCGCAAAACGATGATTTAACCTTTTCCATGCAGGTCACTGCTACTTGATGACGGAAAATTTGCAAAAGGCCTACGATGCGTATCAGCAGGCGCTAGTAAACCTTCGAGATTGCAAGGTACGTCGACGATTCCCCGAGTTTAGCTGTCCGTGCGCCTAACATATTCCAGGACCCAATGCTGTGGTACGGAATTGGTATACTATACGACCGCTATGGCAGCTTTGAATATGCCGAAGAGGCGTTCGGTCAAGTCATGCAGTTCCAGCCCGATTTCGAAAAGGCCAACGAAATCTATTTCCGCCTTGGTATAATTTACAAGCAACAGTCAAAGTTTTCACAGAGTTTAGATGTTGGTGACCCATTCGCTTTGTTATCAGCTGTTCCAAAACTGACATCGGACATAGTGCTTCAAATACATTGTCTCCTCACCACCTTCGCCGTTGTCGCAAGATGACATCTGGTTTCAAATCGGACATGTTCATGAACAACAGAAAGATGTATTTCTGCCTCCCCGGTCAAATTTTCTTCTCTGGTTGTTGGATGCTAACATGTGTCTCAGTTTGATAATGCCAAGAACGCCTACAACCGGGTTTTGGAAAACACGCCCAACCATGCCAAGGTTTTGCAACAGCTTGGATGGTTGCATCATCAGCAAAGCAATGCATTTGATGTTCAGGAGCGTGCTATTCAGTACCTCGAGAAGTCTGTTGGAGCAGGTATGGTGAACACTCAACTTCCGCGTGTAGAGCGCACAGACTGACTATTCCCCAAAGACAACCAGGACGCACAAAGTTGGTACCTTTTGGGCCGATGCTACATGTCACAGCAGAAATATCCCAAGGCCTACGAGGCCTACCAGCAGGCTGTTTACCGAGATGGAAAGAACCCAACCTTCTGGTGCTCTATCGGTGTCCTCTACTATCAGATCAATCAGTACCGAGACGCACTTGATGCATACTCGCGCGCTATTCGCCTGAACCCCTACATCTCAGAAGTTTGGTACGACCTCGGTACATTGGTATGTTTTCTCAGCTAGATCAACCGATTGCTCAATCTCGCTAACACATTCCAGTATGAATCTTGCAATAATCAAATCACAGATGCTCTGGATGCCTATCAGCGGGCTGCTGAGCTCGACCCTGCGAACCCCCACATTAAGGCGCGACTGCAGCTTCTGCGATCTGGATCTAGTAATGGCGGACCCCCACCAGCTGCTCCCCAACCTGCCGATGTGCATCCGCAAGCCTACCAGACCACCGGGCCGGTCGGTCCTGTCGCACCGTCCTGGGCTGGACCTGCTCAACAGCCTCCCAGCAACGGACCGCATCATCAACAGCAAGGAGGAGCCGGGGATAGCTGGGCTCGGGGGCTTTCGGGCGTCAACCCACCACCTCAACCTCCCAATCCTTATGACAGCCGTGGTGGCGATGGCTTCCGTGGAGCTGTGCCTCCTCTGCAGCGCCAGCCTACTCCTCAACAGGACCAGCAAATGCGACCAGCTTTCCCTGAGCCAGGCCGCTCTGCACCACCACCTCGCCGTGGTCAGTCACCTGGTCCTTCCAGCCATCAATATTCCCAGCCTCCTCCATCGCAGCAACAGCAACCACCACCCTCACAAGGTCCGGCTCTCGGCCCTGATGCCCGTGTCCCGAATCCTAACTGGGGTGGCCAAGTCCCTTCAGTGGCATCGGCTCCTCCCTCGGGTCATTCGAACGGAGTGAATGCACCTAACGGCGCAACACCATTCCGGGCTAACAACAGCCCGCGCCCTGACGGTAGACCACCTCATGAGAACCGTATACCTTCTCCTAAGACAGCCTACCCGCAACACCCACCGGGTCCTCCATACAACCATCACTCTGAGGCACCGCCTCAAGGTGCTCCTGAGAGTGCTCATCCTCCTCCTGCCCCCTTGGCCGAGAGCCACCCACAGCGGACTGAGGAGCGGCCAGGCTCTGCTGGCCCCAAGCGAGTTCGGGAGTGGGAGGAGGAATCGGCCGTGAAGAAACAGGCGAACGAGGAGAACCGTGCTCGTCTCGATGATTTGCGTCATCGACGACCTTCAACACCTCCACGCGAGCGTGACCCCTACCGTCGCAACTCTTCTGAAGCGAGACGCCCGGAAGAGTCAAGACGGCCTGAGGAGCCACGTAACGAGGGTTATCATCCCAGTGAAGCCGCTCACCACTCGCAAAACCACTCTGTTGGCCCGCAGAATCACCACCCAACAATCCCACAGGGTCCGGCACCTGTTTCTACTCCTAGCTCTGAGAAGCCTCCCCATGCCGCCCCCGCTCCCAAGGATGAGCGTGCGGCATCTGGCGAGCAACCCGCAGCTTCTCGTCCTGCAGCCCCTACCAGTGAGCCGGAGCGGGCTGCAAGAGACATTAAGATCAATGATGACTACGACGATAGTGGAGATGATGAAAAGAAGGCGGCCGTACTGGCCAATGGATCCGGACCCGGATCTGCTTCGGGAGATGCTAAAACATCCACACCAACAAACGGTGCTGTTAACGGGACTCCGGGCCCTGCACCGAAAACTGAATAATTCACAAGATAGGTTCCCGAGACTTTTGGTTTCCTAATTTAAATTTCATTGTTTTGGTCTCAGCTTTATTATGTATACCACCAAGGACGTTTTGTTCTTCTATTGATTTGTTTCCTCTTTCGGATGTGGAGCCGCATGTGGAAGAGGCACGAAACGAATTCCCTCCATGACTTTTGGCTACAAAATCATGCTCGCCCTGTCTTGGCAACATTTCTTTATAGCCGTTCAACAGTGTAACTATGATGAATCTATACCAGACGGATTTCAATTTGATTTCTACCCTTTCCTTAGCGCTCGTCCAGTTGAAGTGTATGTTTTCGATTAGTCATGAATGAAAATGCAAGCATCGTCAACAAATCACGTGACCATAATCAGGGTACGGTTCGAATCGAAAATTTTGGTGTGCCAGCAATGGACAACCTTGCCGTTTGGGGCTTGGATCGTGCACGGACCAACCACGAATTTGTGCAGTTCTCGGTTAATAAAATTTCGCCCACAAATTGTTAAAACCCTCCTCTACTCCTACTCAGCGACGGTTTTTTTGTCACTCCCATCATACTAACCTTCACCACCAACAACAGCCCAAGATGAGTGTAAGTAAAATGTCCTTTCAATGGCAATTGATATGTATAAAGCTGACATTTGGATAGCACCGTAAGTACGAGGCTCCCCGCCACGGCTCTCTGGCTTACCTGCCACGAAAGCGTGCTGCCCGCCATCGCGGCAAGGTCAAGTCGTAAGTTTGAAATACCAAATACAAGAAAACTCCTACCACCATTTCTGGGAGAGGGAAAACAGTATCTAACCAATTTGGAAAACTCAGCTTCCCCAAGGATGACCCCAAGAAGCCCGTCCACCTGACCGCCGCTATGGGCTACAAGGCTGGTATGACCACGATCGTCCGTGACCTCGACCGACCCGGCGCCAAGGCCAACAAGAAGGAGGTTGTCGAGGCTGTTTCAATCGTTGATACTCCACCTGTACGAACAATGCAGCCCGCTTGGCTATGTGCCTATGGCTAACATCTCTTAGATGATCGTTGTTGGTCTTGTGGGCTACATCGAGACTCCCCGTGGTCTCCGATCCCTCACCACCGTGTGGGCTGAGCACTTGGGTGACGAGCTTAAGCGTCGCTTCTACAAGAACTGGTACAAGAGCAAGAAGAAGGCTTTCACCAAGTACGCCAAGAAGCACTCCGAGAGCAGCGGTGCTTCCATCACCCGTGAGCTCGAGCGCATCAAGAAGTACTGCACCGTCGTCCGTGTCCTCGCCCACACCCAGATCCGCAAGACCCCCCTCAAGCAGAAGAAGGCCCACCTTATGGAGATCCAGCTCAACGGTGGTTCCATCGCCGAGAAGGTCGACTTCGGCCGTGAGCTTTTCGAGAAGCCCGTCTCTATCGACACCATCTTCGAGCAGGACGAGGTTATCGATGTCATCGCCGTCACCAAGGGTCACGGTTTCAGCGGTGTTACCTCCCGATGGGGTACCAAGAAGCTTCCTCGCAAGACTCACAAGGGTCTCCGTAAGGTCGCTTGTATCGGTGCTTGGCATCCTTCCCACGTCCAGTGGACTGTTGCCCGTGCTGGTCAGGACGGTTACCACCACCGTACCTCTGTGAACCACAAGGTTTACAGAATCGGTAAGGGCGATGCTGACGACAACGCCTCCACCTCCCAGGATATCACCAAGAAGACTATCACTCCGTATGTGTCTGCCCTTTTCATTGTGTAATTCTAATGTGCCTCGACCTGCTAACATGTGCTTCAGTCTCGGTGGTTTCGTCCGTTATGGTGAGATCAACAACGACTTCGTCATGGTCAAGGGTTCTATCCCTGGTGTCAAGAAGAGAGTCATGACTCTGCGCAAGTCCATGTTCGTCCACACTTCCCGCCGTGCTCTGGAGAAGATCAACCTCAAGTGGATCGACACCTCCTCCGAGTTCGGTCACGGTGCTTTCCAGACCCCTGCGGAGAAGAAGCAGTACCAGGGTACTCTCAAGAAGGACCTCAGCGCATAAGCGTGTGCTGCCGTTCCTTTTTATCTTGGTCATTGCATCGGTGTCTAAGGGTTTGTTTCTTTTAGGCTGGGTCAGGTTTCATAATGGAATGAAGAATGAAAAAAGCACCAGCTAGATGGGATTGATGAAATTAAACAAAAAAAAAACTTCCCTACATGATACCGCTGCGTGTCCCTTATCACCCACGTCTCCGTTTACTGCGACTAAGCGATTCAAATGTGATGATAGTGCTTGTGGGGTCAAGCACTTCGCTCAAAAATAGGTGTCCACGTTGGAATAGATAGTAGGTAGTTGGAAAAAAAGAAAGCCACTTCCCTATCATAAATCATCTATCGATTGCGCATTGACTGGCCCAATTTATTGCTAGTTCCTCCCGTAGAGCCTTGAAATTTCATCCGTTTGAAGGTAGGTGGGCAGTGGAACTTGGCGTCTTGACGTCACCCGTCAGCGGCTTAAGCGATGCAGTGACGCCTGGAATCACAAAAAGTGCTACTTCTGTCTTGGCCATGCCTTCCCTCCACAGCTCTCTATCACCATTACGACCGCGCTGCCTTTGTAAACCACGACCTGCCGATATCTCTACCCTCCTCTACACACGAGTTTCTCCACGCACGCGATCATTACACACCACGACACGTCCCCCTCACCAACGAACACACTCTACATTTGCGCCTATCCATCGCCGGGTTCAAGCCGCACCTCAACAGCCAGCCTTCCCCCAAACCCGAAGTATGGCGAGTGATAGCGACTACATGTCCTTCTTGGACAAGGCGAACGAGGATTCTTCAGGTGGAGCAAAGGTGACTACGCAGTCAAAGGGACATTTCCAGTTCAAGGCGACAGACACCGGGGCTAAGGTGCCCAAGGAGATCAAGGATGCTATCAAGGACACCTTCATGGTCAGCGAAGCTGACGAGCCTTTCGAGGCCGTTTCTTTAGAGGTCAAGGAAGATTCCTTGCCTGATGAAGGTACGTGAAGTGTGCGACAGGTTCGGGCTATCCAAGAGCCCACCCGCATCCCCGCATCTGGAGATGGATTCCTCTTCTACCACTTTCCCTGCCACCCGCTCTGTCTGCGCATATATTAACGGTGTGCACTTAGTTCAATTTGCGGAGCTCATCAACCATTGGGAACCCAACTCAGCAGACATCGAGATTCTTGATCCTCTAGATTGGGACAAGAAGGGGCGGTATACAAAGGTGATTGAGGCTGTTCGACAAGCTACCGAGGGCAACGACGTGAGAGTCTACCGCGTACCAAAGGATGCAACCAGGGCAGAATATTGGATCATTTCTGTATCGGGTGGCCGAGCAGTAGGAGTCAAGGCGTTGAGCATCGAGAGCTAAACTGACCCCATGGTGGAGGCGGGGGACCACGCCGGTACGATGGTCTGGCACGATGTGACTAACACTGATGCTGCAATTTCCCCTAGATGGCTTTCCGCGATTGACCAACTAGCTAGCAAGAAAGAGACAGTCGATCAATGAGCATCTCGCCTGAGACAATGCAATATCCCCATGACTCGACTGGTGGGACAAAGGTGCTGATTGAAGAGTCACTGAGTTAGATAAGCCCTGCCCGATAACGGCGGGGCTTACAAGCAACCGTTGGTAAATCTTACAGCCAAATGTTAGCAGTAAATCAGTCATAACCAAATTCGGTGAACACGTCCGTGGAATATCCTACAGTCTACCATTCGGACAACAGCGTGACGTCTTTGCTGTTCTTATTCCCTCCGTATCGTGTGTTATTCCAAGCCAGAGAGGGAATTCGATCGATTGTGCGCCATGGCCAGCGGGGTGGGTATCTGTTTCTTTCAAGAGTCACTACATGCCTGCGATCGCTACAGCGGCTTTCTATTCAATGGTTGTGCTAATTCGATTCGCCATTGGCTCTTATAGCGAGATATTGTGCCGTCCCTGGACACAGTTCGGCAGTTTCTAACTACCGCCCGCAGTTCCAGCAGCAAACGGCAACCGAACCTTGTCCCCGTATACCGCCAAATCTCCTCCGATCTCATCACCCCCTCCGCGGCGTACCTCAAGGTGAGCGCCGCCTCTAAAGACGACAATTACTCCTTCCTCTTCGAATCCGCAGCCACCGAGCAGCTCGGACGATATAGCTTTGTCGGCGCCGGCCCTCGCAAGATCTTGACGACCGGTCCCGGATATGGCGAGGAGACGGATCCCTTGCGCGGTCTGGAGAAGGAGCTGGCAGAGTATGTTGTCGCGCAGGTCCCTGGACTGAAGCTCCCTCCCATGGCTGGAGGAGCTGTCGGATATGTCGGGTACGATTGCGTGCGCTACTTCGAGCCCAAGACAGCTCGTCCCATGAAGGATGTTCTCAAGGTGCCCGAGTCGCTATTTATGCTATACGACAGCATTGTCGCCTTCGATAGGTTTTATGGCATCATCAAGGTTATTTCCTACGTCCAGGTGCCCGAGGGCCAGGATGACAAGGGGCTGGAGGAAGCATACGCCGAGGCCGGCCGCACAATTGACAGGCTAGTCGATGTTCTCGAATCTCCAGAGGTCGTCCTCCCCAAGCAAGAACCAATTCAGCTCGGCCAGGAATACACATCCAACATTGGCCGCGATGGATACGAGGCCCACGTCACGAAGCTGAAGGAGCACATCGTGGCGGGAGACATCATCCAGGCCGTGCCAAGCCAGCGGTTCGCCCGCCCGACCAACCTGCACCCCTTCAACATCTACCGCCACCTGCGCACCGTCAATCCCTCACCGTACCTCTTCTACGTCGACTGCAAGGACTTCCAGCTCGTCGGCGCCTCACCCGAGCTCCTCGTAAAGAGCGAGGAGGGCCGGATCATCACACATCCCATCGCCGGGACGGTCAAACGCGGCGCCACCCCGGAGGACGACGAGCGCCTCGCTGACGAGCTTCGCTCCTCCCTCAAGGACCGCGCCGAGCACGTCATGCTCGTCGACCTGGCTCGCAACGACGTCAACCGTGTCGCAGATCCTCTAACCGTCCGTGTCGACCGTCTGATGGTCGTCGAGAAGTTCAGCCACGTCCAGCATCTCGTGTCCCAGGTGTCGGGAGTCCTCCGGCCAGGACAGACCCGCTTCGACGCCTTCCGCTCCATCTTCCCCGCCGGGACCGTCTCCGGCGCGCCAAAGGTCAAGGCCATGGAGCTCATCGCTGAGCTCGAGGCCGAGAAGCGAGGCATCTACGCCGGCGCGGTTGGCTACTTTGGCTATGATGGCGTGGACGAGAAGGGCGCCGAGGTGGAGGGTGCGATGGACACGTGCATTGCGTTGAGGACGATGCTCACCAAGGATGGCGTGGCATATCTACAAGCCGGTAAGTTGGTTTCACAAGTCATGGACGAGCCGTTCTATGGAGAGCAGGCTCTTCAGTTTCCCCCTATCTTTCTTACTCTATAGAACACAAACGAATACTGACATATCGTGCCCTTCTTTTCCTTTCTAGGCGGCGGTATTGTATTTGACTCGGACGAGTACGAAGAGTGGATGGAGACGATTAACAAGCTCGGAGCCAACATGCATTGCATCACTTCGGCGGAGCAGCTGTATCACGCTCAGCAGCAACGGTCGGCTTAGACTATCTGATAGATTTTGAAAAGAAATGTAAAAGCTGCTGTTCCCGCATATCGACTGTCTTCTAATGATGTTGAGCCTTCACGTGCACAAGAGGGATGATTCGATGATCTTAGGGAGTGAACCCAGTGTTATTCTCAACTAACTAAAAACTAAAACTATATGTACTGTAGAAATCCAAACCAGTGATGAAATGCTATGCCAAATGCCAATAAATATGCCCATGTTGTAACTCCAAAAATCAATCTTGGCCGACCAGATGTTCAAACCTTTTCCCGTTTTGGGTCGTATCTCGTAAAGTAAATAAAAAAAAGATAATAAGAAATGATAAAAATAAATACATTAGAATAAAAAATGCGAACTGTTAGATGCCAGGGATCTAATCAGAAGCTCGTTGAGTTCTTCACTTAGACGGCCACAGGCTCGTCTCTGGAAGTGGCCAGCTCAGGAATGGGTGTATCTCGTTTCCTCTGCGTCAAAAACTTTTGTTGGCCCCTGGGTGCAATTGGTGTCATGGCAATGTCCATGTCCTGCTCGACGGAATGCAGGCTCTCGGTATCAAACGAAACCACACTGCTGCCGTCGGTCATCTCGACATCGTTGTCGTTGGAGGCGTCGGAGGGAAGTTCAATGGACGGAATTGGAGCCTCGCGGCGCGCGATTTGGGGAATGGGTGGTCCGATGGGTGTCATGTCCTCCATCCCGCTAGTCCTGACTTTAGGGGTTGCTGCGTCGCCTCGAGGAACTTCAATTTCCACTTCTTCATTGTCCTGGCCGATGGTCCATACCCAGCGTCGGGGCTTCTCCCTTCTATTCTTCCTCTTGCGAATACCTGTGGGAGACGCAACGGCTGCGGATTTCGGGACGATGGGCTTCTTTGGTGCATCTGCCATCTCAGAGGAGGGGGAGGCTCCGGCAGTGTCATTCACACCTCCAGGAGTGGAAGGTGAGAAAGGAGACAGTGGGGAAGCGTCATCAGTGAGCAAGTCTATGTGTGACCTGGTGTAGGTGTTTGTGGTGATTTCCTGTTCGAGAGGGCTGTTATACCCAACTCTGCGAGCTGCCTTCTCCTGCAGGCGCAGTGACTGCCTTCTGGGCGAAGGGGGAGGAATGGCTGTCTTTGCTGGCAGTGGTGAGTTGCGAAGGATGCTATGGCGAGCCTGAGATGGGGTATATGGTGGCAGGAGGCCGGGAGCAGAGGGCTGATAGACAATCGTGCGTGGCTTGGTGTTGGAGTCCGAGTTGTCGTACAGTCTATGAGCCAGCTTCCCATGGGCAATGTCAGTCGAAGCAAAAGTGAACACTCTAGACTCATTTGAATCTGTGGTTCCCGACAGAGGAGGGGTTGCCGTCATAGTGCTGGGATACTTGATCTCCAGGTGTCGTGGGGATCCAGGGTGAGCAGAGGTAGGATGAGCAGAGAGAGGTGTCTCGGGGTAGTGCGTCGTGTACGGGGTGTTGGCCCGGTTGGAAGGATCTGGCTTCTCGATCGGCGTCGCAAGGCTGAAGGCTTGAAGGGTGTTGATGGCTGTCAGAGGCTCTGCATGAGCGCTTGTTAAGCCGGACCTCCCAACTACAGAAGCGTAGGCATTGGAGAGGGTGTTGAAGGCTGTCGGGTCCTTGGTGTCGATGGTGGGTGGTCGTGACACTCGAGCGACTGGGCCAACAGATGTCTGGATCTTCAGAGATAAACGGGGCCTCTTCTGCTGGGGGGATGCCATTTTTCCGTTTATCGAATTGTGAGAAGAGACCGAGGCAAGAAGAATAATTGCAGGCGGTGCTACCGCGAAGAACAATAGGTAGATATTATAGGAATGGGCTCAGACAATAGTTAAGAGCCAAGACAACAGCCGTATGCAGGTTGGAAGAGGTCTGTTGGTCGAGTTTCAGAGTCGTAGCCGCCGAGAATTGTGAAAAGGAAGGATGTTTCAAGGCGGAGGAGGCTCGAAAGATGTAAGAGAGACGGAATCAGACGCCGGTAGCCAAGATGGTCTGGAAGACTCCGGCGGCTATTTGACGATATTATATGGGCGGGTTGCACAACGGCGGATACAGCAGAACACCACGGCACAACGGTGGCCGGCGAAGATTGTGCCGGGGACCCCTGCCTTGGCGTGGTAAGCGCCATGGTCACCCTTGTATGCAAGTGTCGTCACAGGAACTGGCTGCCATGATAGGTTGTGTGGCGGGCTGCAGATGCTATGTAAGCGCCTGCTGGGGTCATGGACAGGGGGGCGGACCCGGCGAAGAGAGGCGGCGCAAAAAGGTGGCTATCGGGCATTCCCCTACTTGCTGAAGGTGTTGCACGTTGAGACACCAGCTGGCCCAGATGACCGACCGCAGTCATATCTACTACCTAACCAGAGGCCGTCAACAGCGACGATATGTGATGAAGAGAGTCCGCTTATCCATCTGGAGAGACTAGCGGGGTCGCGTGATGCTCGGGAGGGGTTGTAGGTCTGCTCTGCAGTATCACCGTAGGATCATGGAGCGGAGACGGATTCGATGAGTTAGGTGACATGCAGCACTGGCCCGGCCAATGAGTCTCCGCTGGTTGGCAGGAAGCCACAATGGCTGTTCACAACATGCATCAATCTTGATTGAGGCCAACAATACAGGATTGCTGGCTCAGCAGCCGACTTTTGATTGGGGCGGCCGCGCTCACCCGTCAACCGATGACGCGAGGGCAAGAGCGACGGTGCAATGGGCGAGCAGCGCCTTCCCCCATTGTGCGCCAGTGTTCCATTGCTTTCCAGGCCAGACAGCCCTCTGCTCACAGACGTGCTATTTTTTGCCGCAGTTGATTATTCCTTTTTAAATAGCTCCCGACAAGCACTACCCGGCAATTGAGATCGTGAGAGGGAGGCGACTCGGGATGCTTCTAATTCCAGAGCCGGCAGATCTAAAAACGGCGGGAATTTCCCTACTGGAACGGCCCTCGATGGAGCCAGGTAAATCAACGGCTGGGGGCAGGCTGGGGAAGGAAGAAAGAAAAGCACCAAGAACGAGGGCCTAAAATCCTGCCCTAGCCTCCCCTCTGCTCCCTGGAGACTCCCCCAACCCGCCCTACAGGGCCTATCGGTCTCTCCCAGCCCAGCCCTCTCGACCGTTTAGAGCCGGCGGCGTTTAGGGGTCGGCCCAAGCCCTTCCCTGCACTAGATAGACCCTGGCGCTGAAGGATTAAACGCGGTCTCACCCATGTTTGCCGTATTGGGGGACGAACACGGTCGGCCTGGTTGACCGCGGAGACTGGCATTAGGCGCGATAGATCAGGAGGGCAGCCACTCACAGCGCTGATGCCTCCCACCATCTGTGATGTTGGCTGCATAAGTCCAAACGCCTTTAGCCGACCGCCGAGTTAGGACCTCCTCTTTATCCCTCTATTGATTCCCCCTCAATCAATCCTACCCTGGTTGGGGATCAAGTGGGCAGACAATGCAATGCAAGTCACCCGTGTCCTCCTGCCTCAGCTCGACCGTCTCGCCGCATCGCGTTCGAGCCTCAACTTGAGATTCATTTCCCATTTCCATAGCTGAGCTATTCGGGGACTTTAGCGCACTGGCTTGCTGGTCATAGCTCTCGCCCGAACATGGCTATTTTTGTTCGGGGCAGGTGGAATAGCTCAAGCCGTCCGCCTATTCCAAAACGATCGATTAGTGTGGGGGCAAGGGCTGCCCGAAAAGGATAGTGCCAGTATTAATAGGTTTTTGGACAAAGTACAATCTATTCGAAATAATTTCGGCACTCGCCATCACCATTTCTGTGCGGCGTATGCAGTCAACTCAAGTGTATCAGATCAACTTACTTTGCTCGGCATTGCATGAACCATGGTCTTTTGCCCCTCCCCCTTTCCCCCATCTGTGCCGTTACATATGACTCTGCACAGAACGCCACGTTAAAAAAAACCACCCGATTTTGCCTGTCTCATATTAAAATAAAAGCCACAGCTGACATGTGTTGTTTGAGGTAGAGCGCAATAGACTTCGAAGGCGTAATTTTCATTTTTAACATGAAATTCTAGCTGCATATGGTTCCTAGATTGCCACATGAGCAAATGGTCACCGAGATATTCGCCCGACCTTCCTCGAATTCCCTTTTTCGGCTTGCATGAGTTCATGGGGTGATCTGCTTCGATGATGGGGGCCAGGGTGTAGGGTAGCCACATGATCTGATTACCTTACCCAAATATTTGGTCACCCAGTGCCGGTTAGAGTATAAGCCGATTTGAGGCCGTGCACGTTAGTTCTCACCCACTATTGTTGCTAGGCTGTACAACCCAAAATTAACACACTCAAGCCTCGCACTAGACACTGACTCAGTGTGGCTTCATCATCTGAATGGCAGCTCAGCATGCAAATTGCTTACTTCCGTTCTAAGCCTTCAATGTAAAGGTGACGCCTACCATGCTAACCCGGTTGAATCACTTTGGGCAAGCTCCGACATTTACACAATCCTTCCAATCCTCTCCCGCCTATGGCGATGGCGCGGCCCTTGCGAAAGCTTTCACGCAAAGAAGATCGGATTATATTGCAATTTGTAAGCCCCATATAGTCCAACGGCGCGGAATAAAACTTCAGTCGAACGGCTTAACAATGTGGCCTGCACCAAAGATCCTCTGAAAGCTGATGAACAGGGCCCTAGGACTATGACTGCTTCTACGCACAAGTGTACGAGGTGAAAAACCCGGCACTGAAGCCCAAACCTTTGGGTATCAAACAGAAGAACATCCTCGCCACATGCAATTACAATGCCCGTAGGCGAGGTGTCAAGAAACTCATGCTCATTACCGAGGCGAAGAAAATATGCCCTGAGCTCGTGATCGTCGAGGGTGAAGACCTCACCCCATTCCGCGATGTGAGCAAGATCTTGTTCAACTTCTTCAAGTCCTACTCTTGGAACCAAAAGGTCGAGAGGCTAGGCTTCGATGAAGTCTTCATGGGTGCGTCTTATCATTGTTTCAAACCCGTCGTATTTAGAAACCCCGACCTTGCATCTGCAATACC